CTACAGGGTATCTGCCACATTTCAGATTTTCAAATTCATGATTTTCCATGAGTAATTCCAAGAATTTTTCATGACTTAACGAAGTTACTATTTTCTCCGACAAAAACGCAAGCATAAATTTAAAAAAGCATTATAATTACATTAATTCAAATGATAGGTATAACCAAAACTGTTTTACTCTGCGTCTTCATATTTATAGATTTTAAATTTAAAAAACAGAGTAAAGAAAGAGTTGAAACAATAGAATAGCTGAAAAAAATACAAAAGCAAATAATTTTTTTTCTGCAGAATTATATTCTAAAGATACTTTTCTTGTTCATCAGAGAGGAAAGAAATACTCCTGATTTTTCTGTTCTCATTTCGGAATAAAAAAAATTCACCAATGACTGGTTTGCTACAACTAGAACTTTAAATCAATAAAATTTAAAAAAATGAATAAAAATTCTTAAATTACAGTAGAGAGAGGAGAGAGTTTAAAAGATAATTCAATCTAGAAATGATGTTTTTTCTTTCATTTTTTGAAAGAACACCATAATCTTTAAAGAACATGATAAAATCATTTTATATTTTAATAAAATATGACTGAGTGGTGATTTTGTTAGGAATTCAGATATTCGGAACAGGATGAAATTAGATTTTTCGGAGACCTAAATCCACGACTTTACATGATTTTTTTAAAAAAATAGTAAAAATCATGACAAATTTTGTTCAATACTGAAATTCATGATTTTTCATGACTTTCCAGGTGCGTGGATACCCTGCCTCTATTTCAGTTACTTTTGCAAACATTATTGCACTTTTATTTTCCTTTAGACAAATCGAAATTACTTAAACAATAATTAATAAACGAAATTACTTAATAAAATATTTATTGATAAATAATAATTTAAAACATTTTACAAATTATGTACAAAAATAGTTATGTATTATTTTTCAAATAAAATACAATACCTAAATACAGTAATGAGACAAAGTGCATATTATTCATCAAAATAAAACTACAACAAAAAACACAATGAAATATAATATAAATACTAAGCTGCTGATTATTTAAAAACATGTTTTTTAATTGAATAGTTACATGTCACTGCTTTATTTAATGAATAGAAATAGTCATGATATCTAAATTTTGAAATAGTGTGTATTACTTAAGGTTTTAAAATTGAAATTATAAATTTTTTTATTTATCAATAACCTTTAACTGACCAACCAAATGGTTCGCACTTATGGGAAATAAGTTAAAAATTCACTGCAAAACTCTGATTTTCAACAGGAAAGGTCTTTAAGGCATTGCAAATGCTCAGCTGGTTAAATACATATAAAAAAAAATTTACTAGCAGATATATATTAAACTTACAATTAAGAGAACAAAAAACTTTTCAAATTGTTCAGATATTGCATTGAATCACTAACCACATTAATTTCTAACTGAATTTAAGTAAATACCTCAAAACTTTTAAGAAATTAGTAAAATTGTCACTGTTTTCTCTCTAGAAATTTAAGCTCTCACAAATTGATATGAGTTATTTTAACACAAATAGGGAAACTCGGAGGCAGAACGAGGTACTTACACTTAACGATTTTAAAATCTAAAGAGCAAAAACAAAATTTTTATACAAAAATGTTTGCAAGAAATTTTTTCAGTGAAGCTCTACAGCGGAATGAATGAAAATCTTTCAAATAGATCATGGACATCAATGAAATTGCATTGTTGTAAATAAAAAAGGTGGGACTTAATGCAAAGACACTGAATTTTTAATATTTTGTACAAATTTGGCGGACTAACCCATTTATGCAGATATTACCAGACTTTTGGTATGGTACACAAACATGCTTGCCTTTTGATTAAAAATAGACAGATGAAGATTTACAATAAAAGATGTTGAAAGGCAAGGGATGAGTTTGGTAAAAAAGCTTATGAAATGTTATGAACACAATTTTGAAAAAATGTAATAATAGCTGAAATTTGTGCATGTTGGAAGAATATTATCAACGTTTTAATAAAATATATTGATGTGTGATTTTTTTTTCAAATTGTGAAAATATAAATCTCAGTGTGCTTTTAAATTGGGTTAATATGAATCTTGATGTGAAGTTTTTAAATTATGTGAATTGGAATGGGCACTGTGCAATTATAAATCTCATGACAAGAGAACACGATGGGTAAGTTTTAATTTTCGTGATTAAGTATTGCAATTGTATTTTTGAATTGTGTTAATTTTAATCACGAAGTGTGAAAGATGAGCAATTTTTTTAAGAAATTGTGTGTATACGAATCTCAATGTGAGATTTTTAAAGCACGCAAATATGTATCGTGACGAGATAATTTTAAATCTAGTGAATAATTTTAAATGTGTTGCGTGAATAATTTTAAATGTGTTGCGTGAATAATTTTAAATTGCGTTTACATAGAAGATAAAGGGATCTTTTCTTTTGGGGAGATAGAATCTGAAAAAGTGAAAATTCTTTTTTTTTTAATTGGAAAAGAAAAAAGTAAGATTCCGTCTAAAAGGGGGGGGGGAACTCATCCATGAATGGTGCTTCGTTTCATAATTGAGTGCTTTATCAAAGAGGCATATTCCAAACTTTTAGAATATTTTAATGATTAAGTGTTTGCCGGCAAATTATTTAAAAAATCAGTAAAAGTCTATCAATTTTTTTCTTTAAAAAGCAGGGTCTTTCTGTTAAAAACAAGAGAATTGGAAAGGAATGCTCTTACCTTTTATTTCTCAAACCTTTTGTATTTGGTATACTTAACATAAAATAGAATTTAAGTTAATTTTTAGTGTTATCTAAGTTTTTTATTTCATCTTTGGTTTAAATTTATGGAATTAATAGACACAACAAGACCTTTCATTACATTCTAATGCTTCTATAACTAATTTTAAATTTAATTCAAAATTCACTAATTTCAATCATTTAAGTAAATTAAGTTACCTTACAGATAAGTATTAAAAGTAATAATTTAACTTTATAACTTTGGATTCAATGAACCATTTTTCAAGAAAATGAAACTACTAAACATTTTTAATGAATAAATAAAGCAAGCAAAAATTTCCTATATAAAAAGAACAATTATTTTAAAGAAGCTAGTTTAGCTGGGGTTTTTTATATACAGGGTATCTGCTACATTTTAGATTTTCCAATTCATGACTTAACGAAGTTAATGTTTTCTCCAACAAAAGGACAACAATAAATTTAAAAAATAACATTAATTGAAATGATGGGCATAACCAAAACTGTTATACTCTGCAACTTCATATTTATAGATTTTAAATTTAAAAAACAGAGTAATGAAAGAGTTGAAGCAATAAAATAGCTAAATAAAATACAAAAGCAAATAATTTTTTTCTGCAGAATTTTATATTCTAAAGATACTTCTCTTATTCATCAGAAAGAAAAGAAATACTCCAGATTTTTCTGCTCTCATTTCCGTACAAAATTTTTTTTGCCTGTGACTGCCTTGCTTCAGCTAGAATTTTAAATTGATAAAATAAAAAAAATAACAATAAAAATTCCGAAACCACAGAAGTTTATAAGATAATTGCTCCAGAAATGATGTTTTTTCTTTCATTTTTGAAAGAACACCATGATTTGTAAAGAATTCAGGATAAAAACATTTTATATTTTCATACAATATGACTGAGTGGGAATTTTCTTACAAATTCAGATATTCAGAACACCATGAAATTGGGGGAGGAGGTAAATTCCATTTTAAAAATTAGAATTTTCAGCGACCTAAATCCCTGACTTTCCATGATTTTTTTTTAAAAAATAGTTAAAATCATGAAAATTTTTGTTCAATACCAAAATTCATGACTTTCCAGGTGCGCGGATACCCTGCATNAATCCCTGACTTTCCATGATTTTTTTTAAAAAAATAGTTAAAATCATGACAAATTTTGTTCAATACCGAAATTGACGACTTTCCATGATTTTTCATGACTTTCCAGGTGCGCGGATACCCTGTATATAGAAAATTAGAAATGTAAATTAAGTACATTTTGTCAATCACACATAATACTCACACATTTTTCCTTTTTAAAATAAGCAGAATACACCTCTTTCAGATGTGGAATAACAAAGAAATGAACTTGAAACACTTACTAAAAGAGTGAAACTGCTAAAAATATTTTTGACCCTTTACATTGAAGCAAATCAACATTTAAGCAATAAATAACTCGTAGACACTAAACTTTATGGTAATGTAAGAATTGAAATAAAACATATTATATAATAATGATAAATATACAGCATGATAATATATGTTACAAATTCAATTGCTTACCAAAATATAAAAAAAACTTTAATCTAACACTCTAAACTTTATAGTAATCTAAGAACTGAAATAAAACATATCATATAATAATGATAAATATACAGTATAATATGTGTTATAAATTCAATTTCTTAACAAAATATAAAAAAAGTGATTCAACTGAAAAAAGTGGTGACTAATGAAAAGCAAAAATCTATTTTTAAAAAAAAATGGCAACTTTTTCTAGCATATTTCTTCCAATTTACCATTAAAAGGAATATTTTTGTTTAATTATACAGAGTTGCCACTGAAATCTGGAAAAAAAAATTCCCGGTCTTTTCACTGTACATATTATACACAATATATTAAGAGGAAACACAAATTAATGCGCTCTTGTGTGAGCTATATTGGGTTAACTATATTAGCTTACATTGCTGAAAAAACTTAGAGAAAAGAAGAAACAGCTGATTATACATAAAAAATGCTATAGTTTAGTATAGTTGGAATATCATCCTTAAATATCTCATAGATTATGCATTAAATGGTCACCATTTTTGAAAAGATAAAAATAAAAAACAAAATTCTCTTTTTTTTTTTCCAAATTTGTAAAGAAATCAAAATTCCCCTGCATTTTCCCTCTTATTTTAGGTGATTTTGAAATTCCCTGTCTTCTCCAGGTTTTCCCTGTGGAGTGGCAACTCTGCTATATATAATTGCAAAGTAAGCCAGGGTGGTAGCTAAGATTCAATAAATAGATTAAATAAATAAAAATGAATGCTTTTACCACTTTTTAGGCACACGACATTCCTGCATTAATAAAAAAAAGAGGACATTTTTGCTACTTATTCACTCTATTAGAGTTAGGTACCATTCTCCTACAGAACATGTTCTTGTGATTTTACTAAAAATCAGGCTGTGTTAAAGAGAAGCAGCACAGAATCAGAATTCTTCAGAATAAGGATTCATTTTAACCCAATCCATTTCATCAGAGTAAGAATCTACAATAATGTACTCTTCTTCAGATAATGAACTTCCAATCTCCGTACAATCACGACTGCAAAGAGTACCAAAAGAGGAGCGGTCAGAAGGAATATCCTCAGGTAAGGCAGCATCACATGGATTAGACTGACCTGAAGATAGGTCAACCGCAGTACTGTGGACTGATATATCACCGATTTTCTCGGAAACCAAGTTTATCTTGATTAGACTTTTCTTCAAGCAAATTGGATTGTCACATGGGATAAAAATATCAGACATCAAACACAATTTACATTCAGTACTGTTCAAATATGTTTGGTGTGAAGCCCCCCAATCGGAGATAAAACTGCTCATGGCGGAATATTTTTGCCACAGTCTAAATTTATTTTCGAGTGAATAGCCGATGTGTCGAAGATGCTTGGAAACACTAGGATGGTACAGCAAAGATAGTTCTGCCAATTGCTGTTTGATAAATTTGTATGTGATATTTTTACCACAAGCATTCAGAACAATGAACACTTTCCTAACACCATCTCCTTTAAGGACTTTATTCAATCTTAAAATGATATTCCCAGAAAGTTGTTGCTTATTTTGGGAAATGAGGACTTCTGCAAATTTTCCTAAGTAATATGAAGAATAAGTCTGACTAGAAACTGCGAGCCACCTCTCAAGAAATGATTCAGAAGAACCATGACAATACAGAAAGCTGTCTCTGTACAGCAACAGTTTCTCTAACATTAAATTGCTCTTATTTTTGTAAAGAAACAAACTCTTTAAGCATGTACTCTTATCCTTTGTTTCAGAAGCAATAACTGGGGTATCTTTCACTTCTAGTATGCCAGTTTGTGAAAGCTTTAGTGTAGAATCGTGAACAATTTGAGTTTCATGTGTATTTTCACAACACTTCGAACTAATACAATCTTCTACCCGAGAAGCTTTTAAAATAGTGTTTTCGATTGCACAGTCGGTAAGGATGTCACGTCGATTGATTTCCGTCACACTCGTGTGAATGCTATCTGTGAGATTCTTTACCTGTGGTAAATTATTTTGATTGAGAATTTCTGTGTCCGACAATTCATTGCTTAAAATAGGAGGAGATGAATATGTTGAAATAGGAGGGACTTGTTTACATAGGTCCAGTATTGGAGGACTAAGTGAGCTGGATGATTCTGGAACAGAAATTGGAATAGACACTTCCAAATTGGAAGCACTTTTGTCTAATATACTCAAATCTACAGCCTGGTTACTGTCTGTTGAGTTACCGTGGACAGAAGCGTACAGGCTAGATTCAGCATGCTGAGATAGGTTTTGATCAAAATTCATTGTGGAACAGAAACCACTATCATGGAAACCTTCATTTGAAACATTGGGATCAGAAATATGCATGGAAAGTTCATCACGTAAAAACTTTTTCAGCATATAGGTTTCAAGGTCTTCTCCCCTTTTCCTTTTCTTCGACTTAGCACGGCGGGGATTGGAAAACAATGAATTTTCGAATGATTCTGACATGGAATACATCAATTCCTTTAAATCTGTCTTCTCGGTAGACACACCTTTTTCTTCGTTGATAGGAAGAGACACTATGGATGCATCATAAATTTCCGAAAGAGACAGATCCGTTTGTAAATCAGCCACTCGGCATTCGGTTTCTTTTAAAATTGATGTGTTTTTCAACTCCAAATAACTGCTGGTAAATTCACATAGTTTTGAATCATTTTCAAAGTCATTGTTTTTTGTAGCTATCTGGAGATTTTCCAATGTGTTCGAATAATCAGGTATAAATTGATTATTATTAACTTTCGAACAAGATATTGGAATTTCAGGAGAAACATCAAGATCCAACCTGTCCTGTAAGAAAAATAATCCACTACTGGCTGTACTACAAGTAGCACTGATAATACTATCATCATCCAAGTCGTACAACTCTGTCGCAAACTCTGAGGACTCGCTTGAAAAGAGATTCATCTCCTTAGAGGGAGTTGCTTGCTGAGCCGCAAAGTTAGTATCTCCAAGATGATTGCAACCATTTGGCAAAAATCTGAAATGGAATAGAATTTTTAATTTAGTATAATATGTTATTGTCTCAAAATATAAGAATACTAGAGGAAAATTGTTATGCAATATTTGAGAGAAAGATTTTGCATAATATACTTGACGGTGCAAATGAAAACAATAACTGGAGCAGGAGATTTAACTTAGAACTGAACAAGATTTATAAACAACCTGATATTATTAAATACTTAAAAATAAATAGAATGAATTGGGTGGCTCATGTGATTCGAATGAGTGATGACAATACTATAAAAAAGATATTGGTTTTTAGACCCACTCAAACAAGAGAGCGGGGAAGGCCACTGTTGAGATGGGCTGATTCGGTGGAGTCTGGTTTTCTTGCAATTAATGAAAATAATTGGAGATCAAAGATAAATCTGAAATCGTTATGGAGAAACTTTCAGAGGTAGGCATTGGCTCACACTGGGCTGTCTGGCCAACGACTACGATGATAATAAAAAGGGAGAAATAATGTGTTAAATAAGTCTAAATAAATAATTAAATTAAAATGAATTATAAATCAAGCATAATAGGGTTAAACTAACATATTTCGAAACATCAACCAAACAAAATAGTTCAAATCAATTAATATCAAAAGTTGAAACACATTTAAAGCTAGTAATGTTTAAACAAGACATAAAATGAGTGATGCAGTTAGTGCTCTATTAGATGGAATGCACAGCAAATTCAAGATGCTTGAGAGTCAAAAATCTCAATTTTTAATATTACCTTATTTTCTGGGGGGGGGATGCAGTGTCTTAAATGAAAAAAAATATCGGAATTGAAAAATATTAATAAAAAGAGAAAAACTAAACTGTTCATAAAAATCAATGAAGAAAACTGAAATAAAACGCAAAGGATGAACCTAAAAAAATATCTTAACTATTATCCTTTTTTTACTATTTAATGCAGAAATTCTCAGAGTTTCATAATATTACTGTATATATTAGAAAAAATGTAGGGCCAAAATCAAAATGGTAAGAAAAAAACAAGTATATAAAAAAAAGGAAAAAAAGTATATAAAAATTAATGCTCACAGTAAAAATAATTAGGAAACATAAATAAAAGATTTATTAACAGTTATTAAAAAAGCAAAAGAGAAATAGAAAAATAAATAGTTAATTCTTAAAGGAAAAAAAAAGCAGAAAATCTCAATTTTTATGTATTATAGGCGTGGTAGGTAAAGAAAAAAACAGGACAAAAATTTTTCTACAGCACAAAAAAAATTTAGAAAATTTTTTGTAGTACACATGTGCCAGACTTTTAAAAAATAATGTTGTAAACTAAAAAAATTACAATTAACTTGACTTAAGTGTTAATAAAAGCAAATTTTGTTGTAAAAGAATAATAAACTATACTACTATTCATTGACTTACTTCATTTAAAACAGAAAGTTTTAACAGTTTTCAGCATAATTTAATCAATACTGAACAATTCATAATAGTTTCATATTAATGCATGAATTTTTTTACAGTACTGCCACATTAAAAAGTATATATCCAGTATTAATAAAATTATATCCCCTCATACCAATTTATAATGAAAATTTGTAATTGAACTCAAGATTTCAGTACTCAAATAATTTTAAAGTTGGGTTTCAATAATCTTGAAATGAAAACACAGTGAATATGCCACTTAGCACAACAAGTTATTGTAACAGATTATCCCTCAATTCAAAGTAATTTTGGCAGATTATCCCTCAATTCATCATTTAAAAATTTTATGATACAACTGCTGTATTGTCGATTTTAATCAATAGTTTTTAAAATCACATGAAAAAGATGTTTCAATGATCGTTATATTACATAAGTCTATCTTACAAAATTTTTTATATGCATGAACAGTGTATGTATGATTTCGTAATTAGAACCATCAAATTTAGCAATTTCTACTAGTATATAATTAATTACAATAAAAAGACATTGGATCAAAATTGAAAATTTTTTGATTCTTTAAATCTATTTCGAAAAATTTTAAATTTTTATTCTTCAAAAATGACATTTCTTGAACACTAAAATCAGGAATATCAGAACAATGAGCCATAAGTCAAGAGAACAAAATATTTTTTGTCAAGATTATCAAAACATCAACAAATCCTGCATATTACCTAATTTTTAGGAAAAAGTGCCAATTAAAGAGAAAAAGTTAGTCCGAAACTGTCTTAAAAATGTTATGCCATAATAAAAGCACTAAAAAAAAATTAAAATTTTCAAAATTAAACTTTAATGCTGAATATCTGTTTTTCATATTTAATTAAGGAAAAAATGTCAATAAAAGGAAAAAGTCTTAGAAGTGCTCTTAAAAAAAGAGATGGCATTCAAAGCAACATGGAGAAATGGGGCCCATATAGGATTATAGAGTTCTTGTGGGCCCTATCTCTCCAGCATTAGCCCACAAACCAACTCATGTTGTCAAGATGATAAATTATGTGCTTAACTTAAAACTCCTGCTTTTTTTTTTTTTTTGACCCGATCTTGATTTTTACTTTAAATAATGCAATTATCCATTTCCGCTCTTGCAGCAAACGGGACAGGTGTGAAACAGCTATTTATTCATTCAAAACAAAAACGGATTAGGGAATGAATTAGGGAAATATGGAACAATGCAAAAGCTACATTTTTTGTGATATTCACGGCTACAGTCGACATGGCAATCAAATGAATTGCTTTTCCAATAACAATTGTGAGCACGATTTTGCAATTAGATATATATATTTTTTAACAATCTAAATTCTAAGAAAAATAGTAAAAAAAAATTTTTTTTTCAGTATAAATAAATACTATTTATTAAAATTAATTACCCAGATTCTAAATTGTTACATCCTGTCAAATTCAACTTCATAATATCAGCAAACTTGGGTAATTTCTCAATGAGTTGTTCAAGTTTACTATAATTAGTAGCATCATTCATGAACTTCAAATGAGACTTGCTTTCAATATGCTGAAAAAAAAAGAAGAAAAAACTATAATCCCATTAAAGATAGCAAGATTGCAGTCGTAACCAAGTAATTAAATCAGAAATTCAAATGATGATTTCAATCACTTTATTTTAAAAAAATCCTTGATTTATTTAAATAAAGTAAAAATAATGAACAAGATATTTTCTTTTCTTTTTCAAGATATTTATCCTACGCCCAGCCAGGGCTAATCAGCCTATCTTGCTGTCCAATAAAGATGCAAAAAGGAAAGTACTTTTAGTATCTTTCAATTTGGAGAACACACGGAGATGTTACCCCCACACAGAAGACTGTTATGCCGAGATACTGATGGAGGTAATCATGACATTTGAAAGCAGGCAACTTCCTGGTTAAATTACAAGGTTTTATCACACAGATGGAGAATCACACAACATTTTTCAGAATTTATTTAGTACTAAGTTTAATAAGAGTATAAATTTTTGAATGGAAAAAACATTGACTTTTTCAATAATAGAATTAAATTATAGAAGGCTTTTCTAATTTCGCAACAGTATGTAACATCTAAAATAATAGCTAAATAAAATTAAAGGGATCTTAAAACTAAACATATATTTTAATTGCAGACTAGCCTTTCTAACAGATGAGAACATTAAATAATCTCTTTCACATAATAAACTAAGCTCTTTGCATATATATTAACTTTAATTAAATAGAAATGTAATCTTTATTTATAAAATGAGTCTATACTGCGTAGTGAAGTGCCTTTATGAAGCCGAAAAGCATTCAAATTAATAAATATTTTGAGATCTTAATACATCTTCATCCGGTCTTATAATTACATCTTATGGCATCATTTCTAACAAAGAAGTCTGGGTATTATAGATCACATAATATAAAAAGTAATAACTATATGCAGCATGTGAAAAAAGTGTGCACTTGTCTTTTGAAACGGTTGTAAACCTGCCTCCAGGAGCTTTTCTGCTCCAAGTAAATATTTTTTTACGCTTTCCTCATTAAATACTTAAAAGTTATTATGTTATCGGCCTTATAAAAAAGGAATATTAAACACGACTGCTAAATAACAATCTTAGGGACATGAGTTAAAAGTAAACTTTCTCTGTATTAAGATAAAATGATGACTCTGCTCGAAAGTATTACGGAAAACTCGAATCAAAAGCACTACATATATATATAGGTATCTATATATAAACATATATATATATACACATACATATCTATATATACACATACATATCTATATATACACATACATATCTATATATACACACACATATATATATATTTCACTGTAGTTAGATTATGCTAACATCTTTTTTTTCTTCCTTTTTTCTCTTAAAAAAGAACTTATTGATCCTTTTTTTTAAAAAAAAAACAGATTTTTGCAAAAGATACACGTTTCGTTAAAAAAGAGATGTCTAAAGATTTAAATCCTTTTTACTACCCCTTGCAAATTTTGATGTTTCAATTTAAGAGCTTTTTTTTTTTTAACAGGAAAAAAAAAACCTAGTTCATTTAGACAGGTTCTTCCAACCTAAGTCGGAGAAACTCTTTTTAAAAAATATAAAATATCAAAACAGTCTATAATTGAAATCTAGTGCTTTAACAGTTTCAAATTTAACAGTTTTTACACTATTCCCTGACTTCACGAGGAGTTCCAAAAAACAAAAAAAATTTCATACAATTAATGTTAACAAAGAATAAATTTTAAAAATACACAATGATACTTAATTAGTTATTATAATATTTTGAATTCTAAATGTTAATTGTCAAATAATTATTATAAATGAAAAATATATTATTGTAAAAAACAAAAGCTAGAGCCAAATATATTATTGCTAAAATCCAAAGTTCTACTGGTAAAAAAACCATGGGGAAAATGGTAAAAATCCAGCAGATACTAGCAAAACAATCTTTATTTATTGGCAGGTAGTGCTTTTATATATAACTGATATAAAAAATATCTTATTTATAATTATAACTATTTTTAGGAAATATTGGATAATATATTATAAATTTGTAAATGTATACAGAAAACAGAGCTCGAAAATTATAATGTTCAACAAGCTCAAGACAAGTAAACATTTCTATTAAATATGTATTTTTCACTCTTACGTGTTCAGCAAGGCATGTAAATACAGTCAAACCCCGCTATAGTGAACCTTCAAGGGACCGAAATTTCGGTTCACTATAACCGGGTGTTCACTATATCCGTTACGCAGATAATTTACCTAATGGTTCCCAAACTCCTCCCTTTTATAGCACATTATTCAAATAAATGACTGAAAAATATTATGTAGTAGCAAAAAATGTGTTATTTTTCATTACTCTTCGTCTTGCGTACAAAAAAAAATTCGTAATCTTTAGCTGATGAGCAATCCTCAACATCAGTTATGGAAACACTTCCCGACTCTCAGATAATTTTTCCTGAATTTGTGTTATTCCGTTTTTTAAACCTGCCTAACCAGCCATTCGAGCACATGAAAGTAGTCTCATAAAAACGATTAGCAAATTCATCCACATTTGTTCAGATACAGGAAAATTGCGGCTTCTTCGAATGGTGAACCACGTCAGTAATGCCTCATCATCATCCTTGTGATCTGCTTTTCTCAACTTATTCTGCCATCTAAATTTTTTTCACGAGCAGAAATTATTAATTGCCTATTTTTCCATATGTTACAAACTTCTGATTTGGATAGTTTATATTCCCTGAAAATATCAAAAAAATGAAGAAAAAAATCAGTCGAAGACAGAAAAAAGTTCATTATATCCAACTTCCTCACTTTTTTGGTTCACTATATCCACAAAAAATGACATTATGCGTGCATAGCAAGGCAAGAGACCGAACATTTGGTTCACTATATCCGGGAGTTCACTATAAACCATGTTCACTATAGCGGGGTTTGACTGTATTTATTCAGGAATGGAAAAATACTAAAAATATGGTCACTCATCAAATTAAAAAAAAAAAATGCCAAGATGCCTGATGGAATAGATCAGTGGATTGAGTTTAATTACATAAATAAGATTCTTATAGCTGCCAACATGGATAGGAAAAAATCCAGTAGATTTTACGAAATATAAATTTCATGACAATTGTTACATAATGTACTAAATATTTTACACATAGGGAATTTTAGGTATTTTTATAGTCATCAAAATAGAAAAACTGCAATATTTTCCAGTTATGATTGACATTAAACATACTTGAAATGTTATGTATTACCTTTCCTCATAATTTCGAATATTAATAGGTATTTAATTCATAAAAGACAGGTAAAAGATTTTTTAATTAATTTAAAAAGAGTTCTGAATAAAAATAAACTGAATATTTTATAACAAACAAAATTTTGAACTGATTAACGATAAATGAGGTTCACTTTATTATGTATTAGTAATGCTCATTTAAATATTTAAGCAAGAGATAATCTGTACAAAAATTCTATTTCAATAGGATTTTTTTTAGGAAATTTACTCAATTTCAGGGAATTTTCTAAAATGTACAAAAACCAGGAGAATTTAAATTAAACCAGTAGACCAGGAGAAACTGGCAAAATCCAGTAGTCTACTGGAAAATTCAGTAGATGGGAAGCTATGGATTCTGGTAATAGTACTTCCCTGTTAGTAACAATACTTTGCATTTACTTCATCAATGCCTATTTTTATTAAATACTTGTTAATAATAACTTTTAAAGCTAAACTCAGTGGCACATCAGCCAAAGCAACCAGGTCTATTCCAGTTTCATTGACCTAGAATGGTATTAACTAATAATTTCATTTTTAATAATAAAAGCTTCTGATTTATACTTAAAATAAAAGTGATTTAAATATAATTCTTATTAATGTCTTCTTTTCTACAATAGTTTGAAAGCTAAATAGGTATTTGAAAGCTGTAAAGTGTGCATTAAAAAAAATAATAAATAAAAATAAATAAAAACATGGACCACCATGAGTGACTTCTGATCTTATGATCGAATCTTCATGTTCTAACACTCAAACACAAACCACCCCAAATTACTTTTGATTTAATCACTTAAAATAAAAGTTATGTAAATATAATTCTTTTTAATTTCTTCTCTTCCTCAATAGATTGATAATACGTATTTGAAAGTTGTACAGTGCGTAAAAAAAACATGGATCACACTAAATAGCTTTTGATCTTATGATCGTATCTTCACGCTCTAGGACTACCATTTTTTTAACGGCAGGCACTGAAATACTTGAGATTTGCATGAAAATGTCAGAACTGTTACTCATCTTACATTAACTAAGGGGCACCTGTGAAGCCAAATCAAGGAGGTGAGCGCCAATACACATTCATAGGATGGATCACATTTACACAAAAGACGTAACACAGAGAGAAACATCCATGCCCTAAGCGTGATTGAAACCAGAACACATCGGCTTCACAATGAGGCACGCTGATTGCTCGACCACCTGGCCATCATTGAAAAAAATGAAAATTTTTATTTTAAAAGTAAATATGAACATTTTTTTCACTCTATTGCACTATGCTAATTTCTTGTTATTTAAATTTAATCTATTACTGTTTTAATTTACTTACAAAATGAAAAAATTTAATTTTATCAATGTTATTACATATCATGGTTGATCAAATACAATTTCATCAGAATCAATAAAAATAATAGGGCATGTTTACAAACCAACTAAAATATATCCAAGGAATGCAGTTTGGATATAAAAAAAGTTAACCGGCAAAAAAATTATTTGAAGCTTTTTTATACTAAATTATTTTAACATAATTCACATTCTTCGGAAAAATTTTCTACGTTCCTACATATAACACTTGATAGTAGTTAATATTGAAATTCATTTTATCAACAATAATATTTTCAGTAAATACTTAAATTTAAATATTTTGCACTGCCAAAAATATTTAACAATTGTGCGTTTGAAACTATAAAAAAAAACAAGCAAAACATTTTTAAACGTATTTTGAAATACTTAAAAAAATATAAACTTAACAAAACTTACTTCGCGTAAATTTGAGAAATGAACACTGCATATTTCACAATATTGCTTCTTTTTCCTTCTGTGATTCTTCTTTCTGTTAATTCAGATTTTTTTTTTATCAATGAATTTATTTTTATCAGCAAAAGAAAGAATTCAAAAGAATTGGCATGACAATAGGCTTTAGTAAATAAAGAAAAATTTCCATAATGTTGTTAAATAATTAAAAAAAAATTAGCTATAATAACACAAATAATATTTCAGATAAATGAATGTTTTGGATTACTTAATATATGAATTATTGCTTTTTCTGCAGGTGTCTTTGTCTCCACCTAATCAAGAGTAATCAAATTAATTGCTATTCATTTTAAACATTTGAGTTCAGGTTAAAATTTTATTTTCCTTTCTATTCCTTAACATTACACTGGAAAACCAAAGATAGGGAGATTTTGTGTAAAGAGTAATTTTGTAGAAGCTAAGGATTTTCCCTGATTGCAAATTAAACCGAAAAAAAAAAACTAAATTATGGTACACTGCATTTAAAATTATAATCTTAAATTTTAATTGCACTGAAATTTACTCATATATACACATGTATTTACTACTAACATATATTACTTATAACACGACCTTATTACACCATGTCAACATGTGAATTCAAAATTGTATCCTAACCAGTATTTTCATGATGGTTTTTCTAACTGTTATTACTATTGATTTCTATATGGTTTTTAAAATTCCATTACCTAAAAAAATATTTTATAACAATATGTTAGGAGTGTACAACTTTTTTGAATGAGGGGCCAATTGCACAGCAGGTTGACTAACAAAGAGCAACACACAAAATTAGTTACGTTGGTGGCAAATATGATACTTTGCATATAAACTTAATGTATATATATATTTATTTATCAAAATAAAGAGTAATATATTTCGCAGAAAATTAAATACTATTAGAATTTATCTAAAAATTAAAAAAAACTGATACTTCCAGGGGTGATTGTGAGCACAACTCAAAAATCCTGAAAATTTGGTGAGTAAAATTATTAATGACACATTTCAAAAAATTTGTGCCGATATTAATTTAAATCATTGATATTTTCAAAACATGGAATTCTAAATAAATTATATGCAGCATAATTTAAATTAATAATTATGCGTAAGTTTATTTTTATCTCTAATCACATTTATTATTCAACCAGAAAAAATATTTACAAATGAAAGAGATGCAAAGTATTAATTCTAGTTCTAATATTTTTAAATAAAATATACAAGAATTTTTGTTTATAAATGTCGATAACTTCTGGACCTTGGACTTCGAAAAATCATGATTTCTCCAAAGCTCAATCATCTCTGTACTTCTGCTAAAAAATTTCCTCTTTTTATCATCTTCTGTCTCTTGTGTGATATATTTTTACTAAATGTGTTCTAGTTTGCTTCAATTTTTTTAAATGCTCCTCACACTATTACATACCCTCCAACTGCTTTGGAATTTCCGTAGTTTCAGAAATCTTCTTTTCAGACGGTACCAAAATTAATGTCTCAGTATTTTTAAAAAAATTAATTTTAGCGTAACTTGTCCACTATTACTTATAAAAGTGCAGGCCATATGGCCAGATTCTTAAGTTCTGATAAAAGTTTTATGAGAGATCCATTTGCTTTAAAAATTTCTACTTTGGTTTGCTACCACTAGAAAGAATTATTTTCAAAATCCTCATAAGTTGGAGGGTATGCTATTATATTGATATATTTTGCTTTGGCTATATTGATACAATATTAGAAAGCATTCCTTTACGCAGATATAATCCTCTGAACTGATGAAGAGATTACATATTTTCATTTTTTTGTTTTCCAACTTTTTAAAATTTTTTTCCAATATTTATTAAAAATATTTTACATTAATAATTTTTCTTCTTTTCTTTATTATTTTCCATGTTTTCTCAATATTTTTCTCTTATTTTAACTTTGTTTATTTATATGTGTGTATATATATATATATAATATATAAAGTTAAAATAAGTGTATAGATATATATGTATTGTATATACATATATGCATAGAGAGAATTTCGTTAATTAAAATATGTATGTATTTCAATTTTTACACTTTATTCTGTAGGCATTATTTTTTTTTTTAATATATAGAATTTATACTTTTGGACAACACGATTTAGTGGAACCGCAATTTTACGTTTTCCCTTCTTACTAGCATTATAAGAACACATAAAGCGATAACGTAAAATCAGGATAAAAAAAATAAGTTCAAATTTTCAAAAATTGACACTTACAAGACTAAATTGACAAAAATTGACACTACTAGAAAAAATGAGTAATATTTACATGTTTTTTCACTTGTGTGTACAGCTTCGCTATTTTTTTGCTCATCCTCATTGTTTTCATCACTATCATTGATAGCATTTTATCGATTGATGATTGATCATTAAACCCTTAACAATCAGTTAATTTTCAAGAAAACGGTCATAAAAGTGCCTATTTTTTTATCCCTGAAAATTATATAAAAATATGTGTATAAATATTTTCGATTTGTTTTTAGCTTGAAATTTTAAAAAATTACATTTTTTAAGGAAAAGCCAACATTCAGGGTTTACTATGATTTAATGTTGGTTTTCAAGCAAGCAAGGAAAATTTAAAAAATGTGTGTTTTAAACATTAAAAAAGAATTTTATTAAACTATAAATACAGAGAAAATGATTTTGATCCGCTATAAAAAAAACAACATATAATTCGGGATTTTGTTTGAAAGAGTAACGTCAAATCCGGGATAATTTAACATTTACCGGAATGGGCAATTTTCCCAGACTAAAAAAAAGAAATTATGTACTAAGCTAAATAACTCACCAAACGGACAACGCAAAACTGGGGCTCCACTGTATTAGAATAGTAATCTTTTTTTACACTGCATGCATAAAACATTTAATGATTAACTAAAAATGTTATTACTTATCTGCACACTGCACCGGTACTTCTGGTTTCTTCCTAGTATCTGTAGAAGAGATCATGGATGCTGCGGGGCTTTGCTTTGTAAATGACTTGGTCGGAGTTAATGGCATAAGGAATTGTGAATTCATTTTATTGATAGATATATCTCTCAGAATGGGCCTGAAGAGTGTTTGGTGCTCTATGCTTCCGTTGATCACAAAGTTCTTATGAAGCTCTTTGACTGATTGAGATAAAGTTGGATCAATGATGTCAGCCCATGAAGAAAACACACGGTGTCTTGTTCTATATTGCCTTGAGGAGAATATTCACATTTAGTATTGTACAGATAAATGATACTACAAAATTTTTCAATTTAATTCAATTTTTTGGATAAAAAAGGATTGGCATTATCCTGGTTGCAGAATTAAAATTTGAATACATTGTTGCTCTCCCCATGACAGAATCATGGCGACATTGTCGCAGAACGTTACTGAGTTCTTGCAGAATGATTTTTCCTATGAAAAATAAACAATTTTGCTTTTCCGTTCCGCAGAAATTTTCGAAAGATATTATCTTTTCTTCAGAATTAGATTCAAAAGATGCCTTTCTTGCGCATTGGAGTGGGGGGAAAAATGCTTGTGATTTTTCTATTCTCATTGGAGAATAATGAAAAATAAAGAATAATGAAATAAAAAATTTTGTTTTCTTTTCTGTCGAAGTTTTCATTCTATTTTTTTTTATGCAGTTATTACTATTGATTTCCACATAGTTTTTAAAATCTGATATTTTTAATATGATATTATTTATTACAATAACTGAATCTCAAAATGAAAACACATATTTAGTAACCTCTTTTTGAAGAGTCAGATTAGCGCGATTTTGTCTTCTATCTTTTTTTTCTTCAGTAGTTACTATTAAGAATTTAACAATTTTTTTAATTACTTTTTTTAATGTGATGTGATGAATTACAAAATATGGAAAAGAAAATAATTAGTGTGTTATCCCCGTACAAAATGCGTAAATATCGACCAAAATATTAAAATAAAAATATATAATATATATTCAACTTTCTTTTTTTTTTTTGTTACTCTTCTGTTACTTTAAATTAGTAACATATATATTTGTTATTTTCATAAGTACCTTGCAGAAAAATAGAATTAGAGATATGTCGCAGAAAGACTTAAAAAATGGATCAGTGCACCATTTCTGCAGTGTCTCAAGAAAAATCGAAAAATAAAAAAGAAAGACCATAGATAAGAATTGCGCTTTTTTTTAAAATTTTCCAATTATCAGTTTAATTACATAATTTTATTTGAACTCATGGTCATTGAAAGCAACAGTGTATTACCGTTTTAATTAGGAATGCAGAATTTTGCTGTTCACAGTGGAGAATTAAAATCTAAAACATCTAGAGCAAGCATCTATATCTAAACATTTGAAAATGCTATTTAAATTTGAATTGCATGTCTCGTGAAATGTGGTCACCCAATCACCATTGGCCACTAATAAATTTTGTGTGACGACTATATTTTTAGTTTTTCACACAATTACAATATGACATTTTCTCAAAATTTTGATATTTATATAAAAGAATTAGAATGAGAATTAAGCTTGAACGATATTTATTTTCCTGTTTGCATAAGAGGTTATCAACGAGGAAAAAAATCCTATTTTACTTTATTTATGCACTGTTGTACATTCCTGACATTTCTGAATTCCGCATTTTTTTAATATTTTTAAAATATTTATAATATTTTAAAAATAATATAAATAATATTATTTATATTATAATAAGCAATCAAAAAATATTTTTAAGCACTATATACATTAACAAAATGTAAAATAGTTTTCAAAGACTTTACATGATCATAATAAAATATCTAGTTTCTAAAAAAGAATTCTTTTCCTGATTGTATTAGCCACGATAAAAAGATCGAGATTTTTCAGTTCAATTTCAGAGGGTGGAAAATGAAGTCTGAAATTGAGAATATCTTGTAAAATGCAGCAGAGTTGCACATGAGAGTGCAAGAATCTCACCGAACCCAGCTCAGTAGACGCACATGCGGACTCCCAAGTATTTCATCAAACATGTAACATGATTGGGGTGCTATCATAGGTTGCGGGCCACACGCCGAAATGGATTGTGGTTGAATGATCTATGGAAACGCTGAATAGAACAAAGTGAAAACCACGCTTTTGCATAATACGCAGCGAAAATCAACACGGTGAAGGAAAAAATCTCATTTTCAAAAAGAAAAAATTAAGCACTTATTAAAAACACCCCATGAAAAAACCACCTTTAAGGGCTTTTAAAAAAAGAAAATCAAAAATAAGCACCTTTAAGCACTTTTTAAAAACGCTACGCACCATGACATGTAATTTTTTCTTCTTAAAATTCTAATGTTATGGACGATATTCTTGCATTTTGTAGGGAGATAACAAACTAACTAATTCCTTTTTTGCACTTTGTGATTCATCATCACATTAAAAAAATCATGAAATCTGCAGCAGTAACTACTGAAAAAGAAAAGATTGACAGTGAAATCACACAATCTTCACAAAAAAAGTTACTAAATGTGTGTTTTCGTTTTGAGATTCAGTTGTTGTAATAAATAATATCGGATTCTAAAAGCTATGCGAAAATCAGTAACTGCATAACAAAATGGAACAAAAATTTTGACAGAAAAAAACCACATTTTTCACCTCATTATTCTTAAATGAGAATAGAAAAATCAGAAGTATTTTTTCCCCACTCCGATACACGAGAAAGGCATCTTTTGAATATAATTCTTCAGAAAAGATAAAATCTTTCGAAAATTTCTTCAGAAAAGAAAATTTTTTTACTTCCCAAAGAAAAAATATTTCTGCAAGAACTCAGTAACGTCCGGGACAATGTTGCTGAGTCACTATGCTTCTGCAACACAGGGGCTTCTGTTAAGATCTAATCTTGTAGAAGCTGTTCTGAAGTAAAGCAGAGATGTGCCTCTTACAAATTGCTCTTTATAGTGGTTTTGATGGAGAAGTGCATTTTTACATTTAAATTTAGATATAATTTACAATTCAAAGCACAGTCATTATTTGTACAAAATGAAGCAAAGCAAGGAATATATGTTGCTCCATTTCAAACAGTGTTTATTTCGTAAAAACCTGTTACTCTCAATTATGTTTCATCAAAAAAATAAACATTTTTTTTTTTAATCCACAGCAATCGCATATTTTTGTGAGGGGCTCGTTGTTTCAGAATTTTCCTTCATAATTTTTTGAATCCCGTTAACTTGGATATTTTGACAAAATTGCATCTTAATTTATACATTTGTTTGCCATTCAAGATTTATTTTATGACATAAATTACTCTATGATGAGCTTTGCAATATTGAATCAGAAGTCAAGACAAAAATAATAAGCAACTTTATTTGGACTGCAATTCAGGAATGAACCAATTATAAATTTTATGATTGATTACTCATTTTTTTATGAAGCATTTAGTGAAATTAACAGAAGCTAACAATAACTTTTACAATCACCTCCACTTCTGAAGAATGAAAACTATACTTGACAGTACAAAAAAAAAGAAGAGGAAAGCTCTGAAATTGAAACCTACTCACTCAGCTAATATTTTGAATCCTAAATTAAATTTAAAAATAGAAGAACAAGTGAATTAGAATTCATTCAAAAATTGCACAATATCGTCTATTGTAAAAATCTGTACAATACATCAGCGGNAAGGGAAAAAATCAATGAAAATCTTTTTTTATTTTATTTATATTTTCGTTTCATTGATCTATTGAGTTTAGAACGAAAATTTAAGATAACAGCGATTGTGCAGCAATCGCAAAGTAACCGTAGGTCTACTAAAAATAATTTACAAGAATCGTTAAACCCAAACAGAAAAAAAAATGGTATATCTGATGGTAAGTCTGACTGAAAATAATTTACAAAGAACCTGACAATTATTTCTGACAAAATAAAATGCATAACAATTGCAAAATGACTCGAGTCCCATTGAAAATAATCTTCAAAAAACGTAAAATCTAAAAGACAAAAATGGACATAAAGAAACAGTGCATTGCGTTCTACATAACGCAGATCCTCGCACGAAACTGGGAGTTCTGATTCAATTCGCTCTTCGTCATTCAACATCACGAAACTAACATCATCTTTATAGCAAACCGCTATCTACATCTCTGCAGCAAGACGAAATTAAAATTGTCTTCGTCAGTGCGGTAACAGCGCTAGCCTAGTCAAGGATCCTTGCATATTAAATAGTTAAACCGGGATTGTAGCCTTATTCCGGCTGTTTAAATCAGATTTCTGATGCATCGCCTAAAACGAAAATTGGCCTAACGATATATGCGTTAAATCGATATTTCGCGATACATCGATTTATCGTCCAGTCCTACCTCTGCTCCAATTCTAAATGTATACCTTTTGATATTTGTACAAAAAATTTTTGTACAAGTATAAAAAGGTATACATTTTAGAAAATAGGTACCTAAATAAGAGTCGAATTACAATAAAATATGAATGTTAATAGAAGGAAAAAAACAATTTAAAATAACAAAACTGCCCCTCGGAGAGAAAAAATAACAAGTACTTTATTAAATCTAATGGAAATTTAAATTTTTTGCTTTTTGAACATAAATAATAGTATAAAAGTTTGCTTTCTCTTATTAACGTTCTGAAAAGTAACGTTCATTTATGCAAAAAAACTTCGCTAAGAGTAAAAAAGTCGCCATAGTCGCCTAAGGCTGAAAATAGTAGCAAATAGTCGCATTTTAGTCGCCTGTGGCAACCCTGAAAGAACAGTCATTATTTTAACAAAATGAAGCAAAGCAAGGAATATATGTTGCTCCATTTCAAACAGCGTTTATTTCGTAAAAACCTGTTACTCTCAATTATGTTTCATCAAAATAATAATAATAAAAAAAATTTATCCACAGCAATCGCATATTTTTGTGAGGGGCTTGTTGTTTCAGAATTTTCCTTCATAATTTTTTGGATCCCGTTAACTTGGATATTTTGACAAAATCACATCTTAATTTATACATTTGTTTGCCATTCAAGATTAATTTTATCACATAAATTACTTGATGATGAGCTTTGCAATATTGAATCAGAAGTCAAGACAAAAATAATAAGCAACTTCATTTGAACTGCAATGCAGGAATGAACCAATTATAAATTTTATGATTGATTACTCATTTTTTTATGAAGCATTTAGTGAAATTAACAGAAGCTAACAATAACTTTTACAATCACCTCCACTTCTGAAGAATGAAAACTATACTTGACAGTACAAAAAAAAAGAAGAGGAAAGCTCTGAAATTGAAACCTACTCACTCAGCTAATATTTTGAATCCTAAATTAAATTTAAAAATAGAAGAACAAGTGAATTAGAATTCATTCAAAAATTGCACAATATCGTCTATTGTTTAAATCTATACAATACATCAGTAGATATTGTAGTAGATATCAGTTAGTAGATATTGTAGTTCTATAGGAACTAGTTAATTTTTTTTTCTTTTAGAAAACAATATGTTCTAAAATCTGCTAAATATTAATCTTGTAACTTGGTTTGTGACATAAATAAATAAACATTTTATAACAACACCTGATTGAAAACCTCATGAAATGCATTTTACCCTGATTTGCCTTTTTTGGTGACTTTTCTTTTCTGTTTCTCAGCTTTTTTACTCTCGGCCTCACCTTTATTTTTTTATTTGGCAACTTTACGTTTTTATTTCAAATCACTTTTATCTCTTCACATTCATGCCTGGCAAGTCTTGAAAATGCACGTTTTTTTTAAATTCTTTTCTTCCTTTTTTTTTTAAAGTGCTAGAAACATGTCGACTGTTACTTGATATTTGTTTAATTTCGAAGCGAATGAAGTTTCCAATCAGGTAATATTGTGCGGCTTCAGTTCCTTGAGATTATTTATTTAACATTTTATGATAACATTTTAATTCATAAATGTATAAGAGAGAGAAAATTTTCAATTATTCTCTGAACTTTGACTTAAGGAGAATATAATCAGGAAAATATATTCTCTTCACATCTCTACTTAGCGTTTAAAGAGATTAAACTCACTCATAGACAGATCTAAAAAATGATAAGAACTCTAAACACAATAGATAGTTACCGGTTAACATCTTCAATTTTAACAAAAGGGGCTCTTATCTTTTGAACATCATTATTCGGTGAAGAAAACTTGCTTTGAACATCTTTCACTATTGATCTCTCCTAAAAATAAAATTTAAAAAATTAATAAATAAAATATTACATCATTAATAATGAATTAAATAACAGATACAATACGAGAAACAAATTAAAAAAAGATGTGATTAAAATGTTTAACAACTTTTTTAAATATATAGAACCAAAATAAAATAATCAAATATAAATAACATCCAACTTTTAAAAATTTAGAAGAAATTACTTAAAATACAAAAGATTTCATGAGATTCAAATCCTTGTGTAAATTCATCCTTAAGAATAGAAATATTATATCACAAAATACCTACAATTTTTCCTTTTTGTTATTTTATTCTAATAAAAACGTATGATTATATAAACGTATGATTATATAAACATCAGATGATTATATAAACATCAGATGATTATATAAACATCAGATTTAATAATAATCAGATTTTTTAATAATAATCAATAATAAAAAGTTTAATCAATTTTTTCATAAAAAAAAAAGTTGAAAAACTATAGCTTGATTTTAAAGATAAAATAAGCAAAACTACAATGTTTATGTAGTTCAAAAATATTACAAACAGTATCATTAAAATTTTAAGACAAATTGAAATTGTTCCTGTTTCACTAACCAAGTAATAATTAATTATCAAATAATGTAAAAACTGAATTCATAGAATTAATGAGATAAACTATAAAAAAAAAATTCTATATTTTGAACAACGCATGGCACATCATTTTAAAATGGTACATTGATATGAGAATATATTTTATAATAAATTTGTTGAAATGGAAAAATGTAATTAAATAACTACTTCGCTTTTCATTTTATAATAAAAAAGATTAAAAATAAACAAACCTGATTGCTTGATACTTTCTTTGTACCATATAAGTTTTTGATTTTCTTTAGATATGACTGAACTTTATCAATGTGATATACTTTTACCCCATATTGCTTACACACTGCAAGAGTATCAGTGGTCCCGTGTTTCTTCTAAAAACAAAGAGAATCATTTGCTAGACATTTTTTATAGACAAATTAGATCCAAGCTATTATATTTACTACATTTCTTCTAAAAACAGAAATCATTTGCTAGACATTTTTCATAGACAAATTAGATCAAGCTATTATATTTACTATGTAAATAGTAAAAGTTTTTAAATTTAAAAAATGAGACACCGAATAAATCAAAATAACAATAAAAATCATTAGGCTAAACCATTATGAAATTTTCAGAGGAAAAAAAACTATTTTTACACAGTTTCAAAATATATTTTTAGCAAGGGCATTTTTTTTAAGTCCTATAAATGTGATAGCCTTTGCTTCTTTAAATAAGATAGTCTTTGCACATGCATTCAAAAAAGAAAAAAATATTTTAATGATGCTACAGGCAATCCTTTCACTCAATTAAAAAACAATCAGGATAGAGTATTAACAGAATCAGTTTCACAACTGATGTTTGAATAGCTAAACCTATTATGCAATTTGAGCAGTTCTAGCTATGTGTCCGAAATGTGCAATAAACAAAAAACAGGGTTCAAAGCCAAAAAGAAATGTTTTTCCGGACTTCCCTGGGTTTCCCAAGTAAATATACATAGAACTCTATTTTTTTTAAAAATAAAGTTTGTAAACAAACTTATAGAACATTTTCAAAAACATATTATAGCAATCAATGTAAAAGTGAGGCTATTTAGAATTCGCAGGAAGCAGATTTTCCAGGTACTTGAGCTCAGACTTCTATTTTACCTTATTTTCTGTATAAAGTGACGTGACAAACATAAAAGTTTATCAAAATCAACACTTTAAAAAATCCTTTTTGACTGTTAATCCTACTTTAATACTGAAAATCTCTGTTTTCTATATTACCCTAAAGATATTTTATGAATTAAACAGAAAAGAAACATATCACATTTGGCTCCTTCTGTTAAATTTTCATTAAGTTTTGAATTGTTGATTCAATCATGTATACTTTATGTAAAAATTACTAAACTGAGAAATTTATTATGTACCTAAAAAAGAAACTTTGAATAAGAAGTCTATACAATTTAAAAACTCAATATTTTATAATAATTAGTAATCGGAATCAATACTTTTTTAATCAAATAATCAAAAAATATATATAAAAAATATAAATTTGGGAAAAAATAACTTGTAAGTAACTAAACATTTTTGTGAAAAGTTTATTAGTATAACTCTCAATTCCCCATTTTGATAATTTTGTGATCAGTGAATTCTTAATATCAATTATTTTTAAATAAAATGATAAAGATATCAAGTAAGTAAATTTTTTGAAATGAATTTAAATCATTCAAGATTTGTTACTNTGGGTAGCCATATCTATATAAAAAATATAATTTTGGGAAAAAATAACTTGTAAGTAACTAAACATTTTTGTGAAAAGTTGATTAGTATAACTCTCAATTCCCCATTTCGATAATTTTGTGATCAGTGAATTCTTAATATCAATTATTTTTAAATAAAATGATAAAGATATCAAGTAAGTAAATTTTTTGAAATGAATTTAAATCATTCAAGATTTGTTACTTAACATAAGAATAACAATGATATACTCGATAAGTGAAGGAGCCCTCAGTTCTCAACCCAGGTGAAAAACAAGAGTTTTGATTAGTAAGCAGTCCCAAAATTCAAACATTGCGGTTACTGATCCATAAATAAAAGGGTACACTAACACCACAGGCTTTCTAGCAACGAGATGGTAATGGGTTGACGCATCAGCTCAAAAAAAAGAGGATAACTTTTCTTCTTTTTTTAAGAAAAGCCAATTTCATGTTGCCCCTACAATCGCCGAAAATTCAGATTTTCAGATTGATTTGAGAGGACAGAAGATGCAACCAGAACACAAATCATCCGTAAAATGTTAGAAAGTGCTCCATTAAAGTTTTTAAAACATTGTTCTTAGAGTATAAGATTGAAGTTTCGATTTATTCAAATCATACAGATCCAATTGCTGCATCTAGTCTCCAGAAATGTAAAAGCATAACAGAAGAATCTTAATAATCTATAAATTGTTTGTTCAGCAATTAAATTTAATATTTTTTAATTATCATTATGCACAACGAAAAACAAAAGCTTGAAAAATCACATTTTTTCCAAGACTTGATAAAGGGGGATTCCATGATATTTTAGACAAAATTACAGTTTTTCCGGACGTTTTCCTGTTTTTTTTGCTGTTAAACCTTATTTTCCTGGTATTTCCCAGAACGTACAAACCCTGATTATACCAGGAATCTCACTGAATGAGCATGTTATTTTTTTTTGTTTCCTAATGTCACTATTGTTATGAATTTATAATATACCTATAAAAAGCATTTAAATAAAATTAAATTCATTTAAAAAATATATATATATATGTTTTTTTTAAAAAAAAAATAGTGTAAATTAAACTTACTACTATTTGTTGAGACTTTTGAAGCAGAACTTTTCCACGAGATTGAGACTGAAAAAAATAAAGTAAGAAAGGAAATTTATTGAAACATCTTTATTTAATAAAGAATAACAAATAGACAATAATTAATATCAATTTCATTAAACTACATATAAATCCATGTGGTTTAATAAAGGCAATTTTGGTAGCTACTGTTGTAAATTTCCACCTGGTTGCAAAAATCTCTACATTTTGATATGTCATAACTTGCCGCAAATTCCAACTCAAGCATTTCATTTAATTACTTGTTGACTCAATCTATTAGCGAGGATTCTACCGTGGCTGGGTGTGGTTTCCTTAGATTTGTACATGGGTGAATTGGAATATTCTATATAGGGCCAATATCGGAAAAATAAAGACGCTTTGAACCATTATCAATTTTGGCCTAAGTTATCTTGCAGCTAGGGAGGTAACAAACTAAGATTAACCAAACTTTATTTTCCTTAAAAATTTGTGAATATGATACAGTATGTCCTATTTTTAAATCATGCGTGTATGCTACAAGTAAATAAAAATTACATCGAACATGAAGCAAGCCACAAAGATCGTGTTAATTACATATCACAACTTATGACTTGCAAATTGAAATGCAACTTGTTTCGTAAATCGAAACACTTTAATAATGCATATCACATTGCATTACTCTTTGATTAGTTTAATGCAAAACACAATCTGCAATTTTTCATTTTTATGCAAAAATCAATGTGTAAATTGGTGATGCGATTAGTGTTTAAATGAGTAATTTAAATTAGGATAACTATATGTAACTCATAAATCAAATTGATACGAATCGCAAACATAATTCTGAAATCTCTCTTATGCTAGTTGCAAAGCGTAATTCTTAAATCCTTTTCAAACTAATCCCAATGCATGATTCGTAAATCACTTGAATGAAAATTGTGATGCAGGTTTATTTAAGTATTTACAAGTTTTTTAAACTTAAGTTCGTATTATATTTAAAATTAAAGATCACAAAAAACATTCTTAACTCTTAGTTAATGCTTTTAAATAACAACTCAAAACTATCTATTTTTGTTCAATAAATATATACTAAGAGTATTCTATTAAAAAAAAATTAATTGAATCTTTTGCCACCTTTCTCAATGGGACTATGGTATACTAATAGGGGTGAGTCCTAATCCTAAAAAGAGTTATGATAAACACTAAAGATGTCTATAACATATTATGGAAATTTGTTTATATATTACAGTATTTTCAAACAATATTACATACCAATGGAACTGCTTTTCGATCAATAACTTGAGAGTTTGTATACTCAGGTGAACCAAGGTCCATTGAACTACAAAATTAAATAAATAAGTTACACTTCAACACAAAAAAAGAAATTGATTTGTTATGCACCTGAAGATATTTTTCAAAACTTTTTTTCTGGGAAAAATTGGTGAAAATGATTATAAATATGGTATTTGGATTATACTTGTGTTTGCAAAGAAGGAACAGAGGTTTCAACTTAATATCTTAATTTTTTTTTTTTTTTTAAGTGCAAGTGCTGGAATAAATGTGTAAAGAATTTCACTACACTAATGTTGAGGCAACTAAAAGTTTTTAAGGTTAAGGATTAGTATTAAATTTTCATATTAACTTTGAAGCTATACACAAGTTTCATCCATATTTAGTTTAAGTGTGATTGCAAGATATAAATTTGCAAGGAATAAACTATACTAATCTATTTCAAGGTGAAAAAATTGCCCGGATGCAGTTTTTTTTTCTTTCTCAATTTATCTACATTTTCCAGATAAATTCAGAATGCTCAAATCAATTTTGAAGCAATGCCCAGAATCTTGGTATTTGGGTACGAGACTAGGATTCTTAGAGAAGTCTTGTTTTGAATAGAGCCCGGGAAAGTAAACTCTGAAGCTTCATGAAAAAAATATGCTTGTCGCATGTGAATAGTTTTAATATTGTGGTGAATTTAATTTTAAAGATATATGCATTCATTATAGTTGTTCATCTGCTTAAATAATGATTAAGATTGGCATAATTGTAAGATATTATGATGGAAAGAATTAAGATACACATTTTATATTATAACAAATGCAATTTTAAACAATTCAGAAACAAAATAAAGAGCAATCGAAATATGCCTTAAAAATATATTGGAAAATTTTTTTTTACCAAAAAACACATTTTCAAGTGGGAACAAGAACAGAAAATAAACGTATTTTAATAATTCCTACCCATAAGCGTTCAGGGATCTTGTGGAAAACCTGTTCTCGGAATTTAAAAAAAAATTCAAGATTAAAATGGATGGTTGACAGAATGTAAACAATAACAAGCTTCCTAAAATCGGAAGAAATTTAGAAGACTTCTGGAGTATCCCTCCGCTTATGTTATGTGTTAACAGGCTTAATATTCCAGGAAGTTTATTGTGACGTGTTTAAATTTGTGCTTTATTTTACCATTCATCATTCATTTTGCCATTTTCTATAATTTATGAATTCTAACAGGTCGCAAGCCTAAAAAAATTTAACAAATACCACAGCATAGATAAAGTGCAAGGTTTGCCGTGTTTCAAGAGTTATTCCTTATTTAGCTACATTTGTATAAAAAAGCACCATTTCTTATTTTTTGGGTAGCTTCATAGCTAGCTTGCGGAGTTTTCCAAATTCATTTGTTGATTGTTTAGTTGAAAGTTAAATTGCAAAAAAAAACATTGTATAGAAAACACTACAAGTATAATAAAACTGGATTGCGTGATTTTTCAAGCTTAGGCATACAAATCAGTCAGAAACAGTATCCCGGAAGTCTTGAGACGAATTTTGATCCCAAGCACCATCTGCGCTTAGCTTTACACGGTCAACCATCCATAAGGGAGCCGGGATAGCCTGGTTGGTAGGGCACTGGGCTCATGCCCAAGAGGTTGTGGGTTTGATCCCCGCCGGCCAGAGACTCCCCGTTAAGTAAATGGTGACTGATCTGTTGAGACACAAAGTTCTCTATGTTCCCATAACAAATCACACTTCAGGGGGTACTGATTCAGGAGTTTCCTTGTCTTCTGAATTGGCTCAAAATTACAACCCAAAATTGGGTCGGCTGCTCAACGACGGTTATATATAAAAAAAATATTAAAAAACCAACCATAAGGCTAACTAAGAATTTATTTTTGGCACGTTGAGAATAAAAACTAATTCCCTAAAAAAGAAGATACTTACTAATCAGAAAGCATTTGTGGGCTATGACATGGTGAGTTAAGTGTCGTTGGTACCCAAGGTTTACACTGCATAGACTTATTGGATACAACAAAGGTAGCATCTTTACAATGGAAAGCTTCTCTCTGGAAGCGAAAAAAAAGAGAAATATTTTCAAAAGCAGGACTAGCAAAATTTTTCATAATCATTGATTAAAAATTAACAGATATTTTTGATACAGTATAATTTATAACTACAGTCGTCCCCACTTAATTGCATATCGGATAATCGAATAACTCGCATATATACGAATAAAATTTAATGGAACCAAATCATTTTACAAGATGGGTAGCCATATCTTTCAACAAAAAATAAGCACTTTTCAAGCACTCAAAAAATATTTTTAAGCACTATATACATTAACAAAATGCAAAATAACTCTACATGATCATGATAAAATAACTAGTTTCTGAATAGATTGTGGTTGAATGAATTATGAAAGCGTTGAATAGAACAATGAGAAAATTATGCTTTTGCATAATACGTGGCAAAAATCGACACGGTAAAGAAAGAAAATCTTATTTTGGAAAAGGGAAAATTAAGCACTTTTTAAAAACACCCAATGAAAAATGCACCTTTATTTTTAAAAACATTATACACCCTGTATATGGACCTAATGTTACATTTCCTCATTTAAATGGATATTTGTTATTTCTAGTCCTCGCTTAATTGCATAAAGAAAATGTACTGAAATGGAAAATAAATTGTTTATTTTTAAGAAATGTTTCAATCACTAGAATTGATTTTCCGTTCTTCAGTTATGAATACAATAGGTGGTCACTTCAATAGGGACGTCCTGTTCATTTGTTGCTCTAAACAGGTGTTAAGGATATAGTTTAAGAATTAATTTAATCTCGTTGGCAGTTTATACATTGAAGTAAACAAAGTGGGGGTTTCCCCCTCTTTAACTTACTTCACTCACACATTAAAAAAGGTACGTAGTAATTTGTTGCACAATCAAGACTTGTAGTCCTCTCTTGGTGCACTATTAGCTTCAAAAACCTAACACACTAGTGTACAGTGTGTCTTTCTATAAAGTAGTGCAATCATTGCTTATTCCAGTGAACAATTCTCATTCAGTTGTACAATGAGTTCGAAAAGTAATGATTGATTTGAATTAATAGGAGGGGGGGAATCAATCCTGGAAACAATAAAAATCTCAAACTCAAATAGCGAATAAATTTTGGAATTTCTTGAGTTTTAAGAATTAAAACAAAAAAAAACTGAAGTATTTGAAAAGAATACACAAGTCATAGTAGACACAGAAAGAGAAAATCAAATTTCGATAAATTGACAAAATTAACAGGTATAAAAACAGCCTTCAATTATAGATTCTTTCGGAAGAAATATAATACTACTTACTATAGAACCTATATTATGTTTTTCATTAGCATAGATTAAATTTCACTTAACTTTAAATGACATTTACATTTTATGGTACTAACATAGACAGCTTTAAATACAATTGTTTATTGATAATAAAATTGAGTTTACTTAATTAAAACACTATACTATGCATAAAATACCATTAAAAGGTAAAATTTTGCAAAAATTAAGAATTTAAGATTCAATAATACACTACCCTTTTAATTGAATAACCCGCTTAATTGAAAAAAGTTGGCTAGGATCAATGGTAATCGTTTCTGTGGGGCTGACTATGATATGAAATAATGAGAGAATATATATATATTAACTATCATTTGATGTTCAAAATAGAGAAATAAAGGGGATTAAACTTGGATAGAAGTGACTTTAGAACTATGCAAATTTTTTTCATTAACTGTATGTAAAATAATGTGCTGTATACAGGTTTCAATCATACCCTAGTCAGTTTTGAGTTCAAATCTTTTTATTTTTATGAAAACGTATTGCTAGGTTGACAGCTAAAAAGGATGCTGTGCCTAGAACACCAATTTTTATATAAGTGTTCAAACAATTACCATAACTGCCATCAACTTGTCTAAATGTTTGGATTATTTATTAGTTAACCTTCCGTGTAAGAAGCCTATCACTAAAAAATTTGTACACCCCTACAATAAGGTACATGTATTAAGAGTTTTGTAAATTTAACTATTTATATTAACAACTTTTATAACCACTATTATTGACATTAACTTGTGCACATACTTAATTTTGAATAATTAGGTATATTCATAATTTTTCTCGTTATATAGTTTGTGTTTCTATGTTTAAGTTAAATGATCTCAGACTTTTTTAACTAGTAAGCCAAACTTATTTTGCTCCTATCTGTAGAAGAATTTGATATGCATGAGTCCAACATGGACAAGTCTCGCAGTGGTCGCTTAAAGACATGGTTCTCAGTAGAACACTGAAGTCAAGCATTACTGGTTGCGATCAGAAAGGGGGTAGGTGACCACTTTAATCAGTCCGCGTAGGGACAGAGGGCGTGCGGTATTGGTCCTCGTTAAGTTGTTCTAGTGCTCGACTTCATTGCAGGTCAGCAGGATACCAAAGCAGGGGGATATTGCTATGGCATGTCTTCAGATCACCCTCAGGTGCAGCTCTAGTGCGACATTGATAATGTACCTACCAACCAACATGGACTAAACCCCATAGAGTGAGTAGGCTAACAGCATTAAGCTGTAAACTTGAGTTTGATAGAGTGAACTAGTTGGTTGCCAAATGTAGCCAATTTAGATTATTTATATTAGAAAGAAAGCACTTACAGCACCAAGCCACTTTAAGTCATTCAGAAGATTTTTCTCAACTTCAGGAGAACAACCAATTATATCAAGAAAGAATTTCTTCTTATAAAATGGATTGCTGCTGACAGACTTCATGCTGGAGAAATAAAATAAAATTATAAATTTATAAGTTAATACAACGAGATCAAATTAACATCAAACTATCAACAAACACATAGAAACATCTTTGCTACCATATTATATATATATATATATATANCCAACACATATTGTGCGGCCCGCCAACTTCTTATTCAGGCTGATCGGTCTCAGTTTTCCCATTAAAATGTAAGCAAATTGTTTTATAATCCTTCTGTTCCATTGTTTTATAATTAATAATTCAACTATTAATTGTTATTGTATAAGGGGTAAGAGGTTATTGTTCAACTTCTTCAAAATGCGGCCCGCCAGGTGATCAGTGACCGGAATTCTGGCCCGTGGCCTCTTTGCAGTTGGTCAGCCCTGATATATATATTCAAATATATACAGGGGCTGTCTGGGTTTTTTTTGAGAGGTACCTATTTTGTGAAAATTTAGACTTAATTTGTGAATTTTAAAAATTATAATAAAAATTCAGCACAAAAATATGGTAAAATAGGAAAATATTTTCAAAAATATTCAATAATTTTCACAAATATGTTTAAAGTATTTTGTGAAGTCTTTTCTAAAATTGAATTTGTGAAAGTACCGCTAAACGGCAGTAAATTTGCCCTGAACAGACCCCTGATATAATATGAATAAAAAAAATCTAATTTATTTGATTTAAATCAGATTTTTTTTTACGTATATATTTATCAGCTAAATTATTTGATAAAATGTAAACAGTATTTAATATTATTTACAAACAATAATATATTAATATAAATAATATTTCTAATCAAATTGTTTCACAAGATATTGTTTAATTATTACTAATTAATCACACTTTTTTATTCCAAGGGAGAACGTTATGCAATATGTGGCTTTCAAAATCTGATAAAATTACAATACATGATTAATGAGTTCAATCAATATGAATATCAAAAACATGAGAAGAAAAATTGAGAGAATTTAATTATAAATAGCAATGGTGATTCATAAATAACTTAATTGCAAATCGCAATGGGTTTGTTCTTTGTAAACTTTACTACTACAAATCATAAAGAGTCAATCATAATAAAATGATCAGTACTTGTAAAATAAACACTACAAGATCACAAAATGGCAGACATTTTGATAGCAGATGCAGGTAACTTTTTTTTTCTTTTCCCCCTTCAATAAGAATAATAATCCATAGAATATTTAACAAAAATTAAATTCGATGAAGTATAAATATTTATTCAAAATATATTTATTTTTCAGGAGCCTTAACTGTTTTACAAAATTTTGTTAAGTTTGGTGAATCCAGATATTAAAATATTTTATTTTATAACCGCAGTTGAACAGCCGACCCAATTCTGGGTTAATGACTGCCAATGTTCAACTCTCTATCCTTGTAATTTTGATCCTAATCCAGAAGACAAGGGAGCTCCTAGATCAGTACTCTCAGAGGTATTAATTTGTTATGGGAATTTGTGACCCTGATAGATTTAACATGCACCAGTCACCATTTAATACAAGGGGATTCTTCGACCAGTTATATTTGAACTCCAATTCTCACAAACAAGAGTCCAACACCCTACTAACCAGGCTATCTCGGCCCCAGATATTAAAATATATAAATTTTTTTCTTCAAAATCGTAGACTCAAGCACCAGCAAGAGGATATTTCGATCTGTCGCGCCAACTACAATCGCCAAGGTGCCAAACAGATTTTAAACTTGCAAATTTGTTCTAAAAAAAACATGTAGATGTTTGCCCGGAGCTAGCTACATGTTATACCATTAGAGTTGATCCCTTTCTGTGATGTTTTTTCAGTTTCTCACGGGCCGCTTCCCAGACTTGGCGATTATTCTGCCACAGATCAAGAAATGGAAATCTCCCCAGCAGCTACAGAAGCAATTAAACTTCAGAATAAAAATCTGTTTTTATCAACTCTGTGTTCTGATTGCATCGAGTTAAATATCAGTCTGTACAATACTAATTAATAGTATCTAATTTAATTAATTTAGTTATATTTCTAAAATGTGATGCATTTTCTTTTAATCTTAATTTAGAAGCACTTCTAGACTGCTGTGCTAATACCTATTTTCAAATCGAAGTTTTACTCATAAATGTAAAACGCGTATGGTATTGAGAATCTTTTGCAAAACATGAAAAATAAGTATTTTATTTTCCTAAAGCTTAACAAAATCTAAGATTAATTGGCCAAATTATTGTTAAAATTGAAAAGAATTTTAAGTGGCTTTCGACAAAGTTACTAGGATATATTTTAATTTTTAAGAAGTGAGTGCGTATGATTTTAATTTCCGGTAGCGCACTCAGTAAATCCTGTGATAACACTGTGAATATAACAGCCAAATATTGGTTTACTTATTTCTGCATAATTCAACTCTTAAATAAGTATAAAACACTTTATTCAAAAACTGTAAAGTACTGAGAATGCTGTATAACAAAGTAATCACACACACTTAATATGCACTTACATAAACTTTTAATTTTTCAGTCACTCTACATTTGCTTAGTCATAAACATTCACTAAAAAAACATCATTTCAAGACGTCTAACCTAAGAAACACGTTTATCTTAAAGTTATTATAGATTCTACATTAAATTTAAGAATATAATTTTCCATGACAATGCTATAATTGCAAAAACAAAATACTCCAAATTATGAAAACACACGCAAATCGTTACACTAAAAAAAAACACTCAAATTTTCAGAACAAAAATTTGGTTTGAAGCGGGAAAATCAACAGATAAAAAAATAAGAAGGAAACGAGCTATAGAGATTTAATGGCAACAACTTCGCTTGGATGTTGACAGAAGGTTACACTCGTTTCTCTAGGTTTACAAAGCTATGTGAATGCGCATGCGCTTAAAATTTTTAGCCAGAATATTTTTTTGACTCCTCTGACGTACGTACAGTGCGCTAAAAAAACGGTCAACTTTCAATCTAATGATTGGATCTCTACGTTCTATGACTCAATTGCTTAAGGGGGTAACCTCAAATATGATAAATAATTAGTGATGACGATATTTCAAGTTACGAAAAACACGTAAAAAGCACTTTTCAAAAAAACATACATTTTCTTTTCAAGAAACACAGATCGCAATCGGATAAATATGGTCCCCATAATTTGGTCAGGAAACCGATCCAAAGCTTAAACCCTTTTATGTTAATTTCGATTTACTCATATTTCACCATGTTTGAAATTTAAAATTTTTGCACGATTTCATTATGAAATTTGTTTGTCCAAAGATAATTCCGTGCTAAAAATAAATTTTAGTAAATATTTAATATTTTTTATTATTTTATTTAATAACGTATGTAAATTTTCACGGCAAAAAATATGAAATTTTGACGAAATGTGGTGAAGCTATTGGTTGTATATAAAATAATTTGCAATTTATAGAACATATTTTAACTATAAATAATTTAGTTTTATGTTGTTTAAAGGCAAATACATTCAAAAATCATTATTACATGTAAAGTAAGTCATTCTCAGAACAGCCCGTTTGGGGCCAGAGGAACTATGGAGATTAAAGTTACACTATTTAAACGAATTCGTTACCAAAACGGTCATGATCAGCCATGCGCCCTCCCACCTTTATTTTCCAGACCCATAGTTTAGAAGTTGGGTGGGCTTCAAACTACTATTTAGTATTACAACACAATTACTCAGCGCCTTAACGATTGAGCCATCACGATTCATGCATAAATATAATAGAATATTTGCTCTATCAATAGAAATTTTTAAAAAAAATCGATTTTTCTTAATATTTCCTAATCAAAATTAATTTATTTTTCATTAGATATCTAACTGACAAATTGGGCCATTGTCATTACATATCCATGAAAACATTTAGCTTAAATGGAAACAACTGTGTGATTTTACTTTTTCTGATAGTTTGTACTTATTTTAGTACTATAGGTATACCTTTTTAGTTTTATAGAAATATTCAGTATATTAAGAATTATTAAAGCATTTTATTACTCACTTGATTGTTATACGTAAAAAAAAAAAAAAGNAATGAGGTTTTTTGCAAAATATTTTCTAATTATTTATTAATATTTTCGCTGGAAAGGTTAATATTTGCCTTATTTTCTTTCCTTGGAAAAAGGTTTCAGCTTTATATTTCTGCTGACCTTATCATGACAACGAACAAAAATGAAAATATTAAGGTTTGCCATTTGCTTATTTTTTAGCCTAAGTAACAATGTTTTTTAAAAAAGCTTTAAAAATCATTTAGTTTTCCTTTTAGGAAAAAAGGTTGGAAATTGCAATATTTTTGCTTTATTGAAAAAAGGTTTTTACTGCAAACCTTTTCGTGACAATGAAAATAAAGTTAAAACACAACGTTGTCGTAAGGTTACATGCTTTCTGGGACACTATTTAAACGAATTCGTTACCAAAATGGTCATGATCAGACATGCGCCCTCCCACCTTTACTTTCCAGATTTTCCAGCACAATTACTCAGCGCCTTAACGATTGAGCCATCACGATTCATGTATAAATATAATGGAATATTTTCTCTATTAATAGAAATTATCCGGCTAAATTATCCGTATAATTAATAGAAATTTTTCTTAATATTTCCTAATCAAAATTAATTCATTTTTCATTTGATATCTAACTGACAAATTGGGCCATTGTCATTACATATCCATGAAAACATTAAGCCTAAATGGAAACAACTGTGTGATTTTACTTTTTCTGATAGTTTGTAATAATTAAGTACTTATTTTAATACTATAGGTATACCTTTTTAGTTCTATAGAAATATTCAGTACTTAAGCTATTGTTTTAAAATAATATTAAGAATTATTAAAGCATTTTATTACTCTCTTGATTGTTATACGTAAAAAAAAAAAAGATCAAACAGACATCATTTAAATAAGAAAAAAAAATCCAATTTAAATATAAATAAAATTTTCATTTTATTTATTCATTTATTTTTAAATCATAATTTTTGCCAACTCTTACTGTAATATAAAATATTTTATCATAGGGTTAAAATTGTTTGATTAGGTATTTTTCGTGTAAAATTTAAAAGAAAATCGAATATAAAATCTTAATTACAGAACAAAATAGCTAATTACAATAATTTCAATATTTTGACAAAGCTTCCAATCAAAACCTATATCCACAATACACACACACGCACGCACACACACACACACACACACACACACACACACACACACACATATATATATATATCTGTGCTTTTCACTCATTCCATAATCTTAATTAATAGTTTTTCTTTCCTCTTTTTTTCGATATATCGATATTTATCTTTTACCTTAAAGCACATTGAGTATCAAAGCATGTTTTTGTTAGCTTTATCTCAATTTCATACTTTATTCGTCTTAAATCTTGCGAAACACATCATATCATTGAATTTATATCTTTGTGTGATTCATCAAAATGTTAACATATTATTATTTGAAAATCATTTTCATAAAATCATGTCCTCTCATTCCCCTTTTAACTAATATAAATAAAATAAAAACAATTGTAGTATATAAAATTTAAAATGTGAACAAAAAATAATAAGAGTAAGGAATTTAGTTTTATATTTTATTTTATAACTGTCGTTGAACAGCCGATCCAAAGTTATGGGTTTACGATTATTAATGTTCAACTCCGTAGCTTTGTAATTTTGAACCCAATTTAGAAGACAAGGGAACTCCTGGGTTGATTATTGGGAGAAATTTGTCTTCGTGGAGGACTTTTTGATGGAGCTGACCTCCCATAGTTAGCCTGACGGCAAGGGGACTCTAACCCATGATCCGTCTACCACTGAAGATATTTCGCATCAGCACTGTGGTCGGTGCAAGCCGGATGCGGAATTCGTATCGACTGGGATTCGAACCCGGTTCGCCTCATTGGATGGCAAACGCTCTTACTGCTGAGCCATTGTGGCTCAAGAGTAAGGATTTATAGCATTCGTAGGATTCATATTAGCTCAATTTTTAATCTTTAACTTTATAAAAATCATGAATGCAAACCAAGGTCCATAAATGAGCCGACCATCTGCAAATAAGTCGATAATTAAACTCAGGGTCGAGTTTAATTTATCTTGGTTGTATAGGGTAACATGCCAATCCCTCAAAAAAAGCTAAGCCAGACAAACCCTAACAAATGACTTCTTGTTGCCAATGACTAAAATGTTATTCTTTTTCTTTACTTGAGTTCCTGTTTTCTAGTTCAATTTTTCCCGAATTCCAATTCTGACTATACATTTGTACAAAACTAGGCACCCGGAAGCGCTATATTGTTATTTGTTGAAAAGTTTGTTTTCGTTTGAAAAGTTATACTATATTTAAGTAACAGTTGTGTATGAGAAAACAATTAAACAATTTTGCTTCTCTAGAACATAAAATGGCCTCTGTTTGGCAGCAAATATTAGCAGTGGATGCTAGATACAATGCCTACAGGGCGCCAAGTAATCCCCAGTTTCGTAAGTTTGTAATCAATTCTATATTATAAAGTGTTAAAAAGATATAAAGATAAAATTTTAGTATCAGTTACTGCGCCAAAATAATCGCTCAATCTTTGCTACAATCTATTCCGATTTGCATTTCGAATCAGAATTGGTTAATGATGTCTTAATTTTTCCATAAAAAACTTACATCACACAAAATGATTTATTTTACACTTCTATTTACGTAAATATAAAAAATACTCGTTTCATCAATAAAATTTGAAACTCTCAAAAGTATGAAATAGCGTAAATATAAATATATTATCATATTAAAGCTAATAGAAAAATAAATATCAACTCAAATCATATTGTTTCTTCCACAATAAAGAATGAACAAGCTCAGAACAAACCGTTACCATAGCCACTTAATTATATGAACTAGATCAAAGTTTAAAATTAAACAGAGGATAATTCTCAACATCCTTCCGCCTAAGTTAATTTCTAATTTAAATTACAGTCGAGTAATTTCTAAGTTATCTTGCATTCGTGAATATAACAATTAAAGTAAGAATATTAAAAATAATAAAATAGATCATTATGAAATATACAGTGTTAATAAGTCCAGTCTCTGAGGTACTTTGATTATAAGACCCGTTTTAGTCTTTCGAATCTGAGGCTCAGTAACGTTCACTTCCACATTTACTCTATATATGATTTGTTAATTTACGCTTTTGTGCAAAATGGAAAAGTTTCGGAACACCACTCTTTTGAGTGTCCTGAAGATATAAAGATGAACTTAATGATGTCAAAATGTATATCAAGGGACATGAGTTAATTACTGCTTACCAGTCGCAGAGAACTGTAATCATTTCTTCAGATGATAATGAACCTTTTCCTAGTAAATGTCTCAGCAATTTCTTGAGAATACCTATCAATCTTTCCCGTCAACCTCCCCATCAAAAATCAGTCGGGGACTTCCATTGAATAGATATAGATGTGTCTTCAGTGATTTGTTCTGCATTTAGATCTTGTTATGCATTTGAAGTTCTTACCAAATTGGTTTGATTGTCACGGTATATGACTTTACTCTATCCTCTGCGAGCTATAAATCTTTTAAGAGATAGTAAAAAACTCTCAGTAGACCAATTCTAAACTAAACCTTCAACCAATTCTAAAAAGGCTGCTCTATAAACTGAATCGATAAATAAATAAATCCAAGATTTCTTGTTACCTCACAGGACCAGTCAAGTCTACCTCTCAAATTTCAAACATTACTGATTCTCAAAATTTGTCTTCTAGGGGCGGTACTGTACGAGCTTCTAGGTTTTTAGCGGAAAATCTTCTGTGCACTTATTAATAACAGATCTCAATATTTTTCTAGCATTAAAAATCCAAAATATTTCTTGTAGAATATTTATCAAAATTTGAGTATCAGCATGCACATTTTTCTTGTTATAATATTGTAAATTCTCAGCTCTCTCTCATTTTCAAAGCAGTCTTCTTCGAATGTTTCTAGTTTCTGTTTTGAAAATACATAAATATGCAGAGATCAATATAAGTTTCTGACTCATCTATCTCTTTGTCTATTTCTATATTGGAAGTTTTCCCAGAACGCAACAATTGTTGAAATTTATTTTCTCAATTTATCATTAAAATTGCGCCCTCTTAAATAAGCTTTAATTTACTAATTTTATCAGCACAATTGAGTTTAATTTCTTCCTCATCAGAAGAATTACATGTTCGAGTAAATAATCACCTATATTGTTTACTATCTTTCAATACAGCTTCCGTAATGAATAAAGAATTTTAAAATATATACAAAATATTTTTTACTCTTAAAAAGCCGCAGTGTCCTGTTCGCCCATGCCAGATATTCTGTTTTGCACTTCGAACCAGAATTAGTTAATGAGGACAGTATTCTTAATTATTCCATAAACAACTTAAACATATTAATATTAAAAATACCTGCTTCTTCAATAAAGCTCAAAATGCTGAAATATATAAAATGGCGCAAATATGAATATATTACAGCTGAAAAAAAATATAATAAATATCAACTCAGAGCCATTTTGTTTCTTCTCCACAAAAGAAAAAAAAAAAAAAACTTACCATAGCAACTTAATTTTTTGAACTAGATCAAAGTTAAAGATTGCACAGAGGATAATTCTCAACAATTGCATTTAAGATACTAAAAGCATTCAGTGGCATACTTAGACTTTAGTGCACTCCTGCAATATCTATAAATGCACCCTGCCTGAGACTTCACACATTTGTTTTTAAGATTATAATATGAAACAATAATGCTACAGAGAAACATTCTGGTATTTGTAATCATTCATTTTATTTTATTTTACATATTTTTATTTCAAGTATTCTAATAATTATTAATAAGGAACTAATATTTTTGATGGAAAGGCAGTATTTAGAAAAAATTCTAATTTGGAGCTTACCATGTTGAAAAATCAGTTTTTGGGAAAAAAAATTATTTTTGATAGGTTATGATGTACTAAATATTTGATAAAAAAAAAAATTTTCTGATTGAAAAATGTTTTTGGAGAAAGTTTTTCTAAGAAATTTATGTTAATTTTTTCTTCCGATACCATGGTACAAAAAATAAAATAAGCCCTTCATATACTTATTTTAGTCCCTTCTGTTCATATCATATTTTGACACTCAAACATTTGCTTTTGTGTTTTGTAAATCTATGCTTTTTAATTTACTTTGTTAAATATTTACTTTTAAGCATTTTCTAATCAGTTGTCATCTCTTTATCAGGTACTTTGTATATACGCCGTCGAAGTCAACTTCTGCGTGAAAATGCGAAACAAGAGGTATGAATCAGAAACAGTATGGAATAATACTCATTTGTATCTATTAAATTGGCTTATTTAAATATTTATATTTTAATATGCCAATACTTATTAATTAATATTTTTATTTTATTATAAAATTTTTGTGTGTAAACGATCTATGGACTGTATTCTGCAGATTTTTATAGCACGTTATTTTTTCAAATGTATTTTCATTTTAATACACTGAAAACTCAAAATTAGGAAAATACTATCCCTGCACTGATCTTAGATATAAATTTTTAGGAATGGAATTAATTCCCTGTATTATATTATTTCCATGTAATATTAAAAGGTGACAATTTTTGAGAAATTTTTTATTATATTGTGCATTGGAAATTTATCAAAATCCTTCTCATTTATTTATAGTTCAGTCCTGTTGCTAGAAAACAGTATTTACGATTGAGGAATCAGTTGTTATCTCAGAGATATGGCGTATGTCTTGATCAAACGTAAGTAGCTAACTTTTAGTTCTCCAATTAGTTAATACATACGTTTGAGTAAAAAGTTCAGTTTTTTTTAAAAAAGTTTTTACGTTAAAGTGTGATGATTTTAACAAATTTTAATAGGATTAGAAACATGTCTAAACTTTATTTTTTAGGGTTGGTTTTAATTAACATATTGTTTTATTTTTATTTGTAACAAATAAAATTTTTTTGTTTTAAAAACGTCAATAATTTGAATGATTAAAGTGAATAATATCGAAATTGAAGTGATTAGTGTCAGTTAAATTTAATGAACTCCTACCCAGTAGAATTAAAAAATAATGGTTGCATTATTGTTGATATAATAAGAGTTATTATTGATAAGAGTGAGTTTTTTCTATAACTTTTGAACTAAAGACCAGGGTGGCTAGAACATTTAAGCGGAAAGGAATTTCATTCATGGGAAAGAAGAGGTCTTAATAGTTCGTGTTTGTTTTCTTAAGTATTGATTTTTTTTTTAAAAAAAGGATGGAAAAAGAATTTTAATAATAACAAATATATATGTTACTAATTTAAAATAATTAAAGCGCTGTGTACAAAAGAAAACTATATATATATTTTTTAATTGAACATTTAGTAATTTTTTATTTTAATATTATGGGTGATATTCTTGCATTTTGTTGGGGGGCGTTAACTTACAAATTATTTCCTTCCTTCATTTTGTAAATAATCAGCACAATAAAAAAAAATCAAAAATCATGAAATCTGTAGTAGTAATTGCGAAAAAAAAAATGACAAAATCACGTGAATGGCTTCCTCAAATGCGTTTTTCATTTTGAGATTCGGTTGTTGTAATAAATAATATTGTTTTTTAAAAAAATGTATTTAAAAACAACGGAGGTATCAATAGCAATAACTGCCAAAAATTCGATGGAATTATTGCCTTAAAAGGTAAATACTCAAATGCACTATTCAAATTTTTCATATTGTTTGTAATATATTGGGATATTTAAAAACCATGCGAAAATCAATGTCAGTAACAGTTGAAAATACAATCGAAACATTGTATCGATTTATGATACTATCGGTGTAAATTGAATGCGCCAAAAAATTATTACCTTACTAAATGCATGATTCAAATATTATGTGTAAATTTCTGTTGAAAAGAAAACTAAATTTTTAACTTTTCAAACAAAAATCTTTCTGCTAGAACTCAGTAACGTTCTGCGAAAATATCGCCGTGTCGCTTCGATTCTGCCAAGGGGGTCCACACATAGCTTGTTTCTCAGTCTTCATCGGTATTAATTCTTACCTCCTGAAACTACTGATGCTTTGAAGGGTTTTCCTCCAAACTGTAACAAATCCTTGTTCCCCTTCATCAGGAGATACTGTCTTTCATCTTAACATGTAATAACTTCAATATTTTTTTTCCCATGTTGGTAGAGGCATGAATCTGCTGTTTTCAAAATCGGTTAAACGGGTATTATTAGCATTTTAAGAATAGCGTTTGTGATGGACCATTTAAACAAGATGGGGCATATGCGAAAGCAAAAGACAGATCGAGGCTCAACGTTATTATTAGATTACCTTCACCATCTCCAGGAAAAATATTTCCTGGAATTATGGAAAGTGTGAAGTAGTTCGAGAGTATGTGTTAGGAGTTACAGCTTGACTTGAATATCAATAATAATAAAAATATTATCTGGTCACTGATAATAATGTTCCTTTTGTGTTGCATTAGCATATATATTCTTCTTGCATCATTTTATTTCTTTGCTTTTTTAAAAAAAAAAAAAATTCTTTGGAACAGGGTTGTCACTCCACAGGAAGAATAGGGAAAAACCTGCAGAATACAGAGAATTTAAAAATCGCCAAAAATTACAGGGAAAATGCGAAGAATTTTGATTTTTTCTTTACGAACTGTCAAAATACAGGGAATTTTGTTCCTTATTTTGGTCTTTTAAAATATGGTGACTACTCAAAGCGTAATCTATGGGATATTTAAGGATGATATTTCAGCTATACTAAACTATTTCATTTAGTACAGTATTATTTAAGTATGCCCATCTGTTCCTTTTTTTCTCCTCTAAGTTTTTTTTTAAAACTAATAAATATAGTTAGCCCAATACAGCTCACTCAAAAGCACAGTAATTGTTGTGTTCCTCTTAAAATATTGTGTATAATATGTACAATGAAAACACAGGGAGATTCTTTCCAGATTTGAGTGGCAACCCTGTGGAAGTTCAAGGAGTGAAAGTTTGACAGTGCAAAGATATATTGTTACAGATGATAAAACTATATTAATTTTGTATTATTTTATTTATTAATTTTTTTGCTTGTAAAGTTTAAATATATTTTTTAGAAGTGTAAGAAGTCAAAGCATGAGTGCAAGAAGTAACAGTAGGGCTACCTTGGAGGTAAGTTGAACAAGTTTATAGGTTGAAACATTTTCAAAACTTATTTCTTATATATATGTGTAACATAACAAGCTTCAACTAATATTTTTATGTATATATGTTATCCCTTTTCTGTAAATCTTTTTCTTAATGTATTATTCTATTCGAAACGTTCTTTCACATACTTAAATGTTCACATCCTGTCTTTTAATCTATTTTTAATTTAAGTATGCATTAGTTAACATACTTACTTACTTATCCTCTATGTGCCTTTGGACACATAAGGCCTCTAGCATATCCCTCCAACGCCTCTTGTCTCTAGCAATAGATCTTGGTTCTCCCAGCCAGATATTCCACATTCTTTTAATTCGCCCAAAAACATGCGCTGGGTGGTAAGTCTGGGTCTTCCTCTTGTTCTTTTACCATCAGGGGCCCATGTAAGCGCAACATATGTAATTTTCTCTTTGGGCATTCTAAGGATATGTCTGAACCAGCTCCACCTTCGTTTTTTAATTTCATCTTCTATTGTTTTTATTTTAGCTTTCTTTAATAGATTTTGATTTGATACTTTGTAAGGCCAGAAAATTTTAAAAATAAATCTTAAACATTTGTTTTGAAAGGTTTCTAATTTTTGTATTTCGATCTTAGTCTGTTTCCAGGTTTCTGTGTCATATAATAGTACTGCTCTAACAATAGCTTTGTAAACAACTATTGTTGTCTTTATTTCAATATTTGACTCTCTCCAAAATTTATGTAATCCCTTAAAACATGTTCTTGCTTTGATTATTCTCTGTCTAATATCTTCACTACTTCCACCTTTTTTTATCTACAATAGAACCTAAATAGCTAAATGACTATGTCATCTATTTCGTGATTTTCGATTTTAATTTTGTCATTTTTCTTTTGATTTATTCTCATTACTTTAGTTTTCTTATTGTTTATGAATAAACCTACACTATTTGAATATTTCTTGAATTTGTCTGTTTTAAGCTGAAGGTCTGTACATTTGGATGAAATAAGTACGATGTCATCAGCAAAATCAAGGTCTTCTGAAGTAGTTGTGAAATTCCACCTTATTCCTCTTTTTTCATCTTTCAAGCTGTTTCGCATAATTCAGTCTATCACCAGTATAAATAAAAATCCTGATAAAACACACCCCTGTCTCACGCCAGTTTTTACCAAAAAGAATTCAGTTAATTCTCCATTTACTTCTATACATGCTTTGCTGTTATCATACATATCTTTGATTATGTTAATATATTTCTCTGGTATATTATAAAGTGATAAAATTTCCCATAATTTCTCTCTCTTAACTGAAATTAGTTAACATAATTAACATTTTAATGTCTATCCCTGTAACTAAGCATGAGAAAGCTGAATCTCCCACGACCAATTTAACTGACGAATTATAATTACTATTCCCTAAAGCAAAGCATTTTAGGGATTTATGTCGCAAGATTTTCTCTAACTTTTATTGAGGAGAACTCCGATTTTTCTCAGTTGGATATTCATTCTCTTATTATAATAGGTAAATAAAATTAATTTACTCTTTTTAAAATCCTGTGCCTATTTATTCTGCTCGTAAGACTGCCACCATTAGATATCTGTATAAATTATGTATTAGATATATGTATGTATTAGATATATGTATGTATTAGATATATGTATGTATTAGATATATGTATTTGTGATTGCTGATTATTCATTGCGTTTTTTTTTTAATATGTCTGAAATCACTCTGTTAATTTATTTAAATTTTTAAATTTTATTTTTTATTTTTTAAATTTTATTTCAGACCAGTGACTCTTTTGAGAACCGTATTGCTTTAGGTGACCTTAAAAAAGTCCCAAGGCGTTTAACTAATGAAGAAGTTGTCCCCACACACTTAGCAGAGGCCAGTCGTGCATTAGTTGGTGGAACTTCTATTGATGAAAATTATGCTTTTACTGGAGTACATCATATATTTGATCAACATAAAGATGCAGGTGTCAATTTGTCTCTTCTTATTTATTTAGATAGTTCACTTTCAACAATTTAAAGTAACCATTTTTCTTTATTTAAGTAAACTCAATTTATGAGCATGTTAAGAAAATGTATTTATCTTTTGAAATGTAATTGTACACGCATTATCAATACCATATATGATAAATATCATAAGAACACATTATATTGGGTTATTTTTGAATCAATGAAAAGCTAGAACTTTTTATTTAATTTTGATATCTTCTATTATATTATATTACTAAACGCAGGAACAACAAATTCTTATAGTTAATGATGGACTATGAAAAAAATAAATTCAGACTACCCTTTTAATGAACAATAAATTCAATAGCTTGTATAAATTCTACGTCATCAGTTGGTAAATTCTAGGGATGTAATAAATCTTATATTGTCCAGATACCTGATATTGGACCTGACTTTGAACCAGATACCCGTAGCAGTGTCTTTTTCTTCTTCTTACTTTTAGAACTAATATTTAATAGTATGAGACTGAGCTAATATTTTCTTTTTGTTCATATTTCTCTCGATTTCTTTCAAATAAACTTTTAATTTTGAGTCAATATGTGTTTTAAATCACGAAAAACATTAATAATGCTACTTAATAAATATAATCATAATTAGATTATTAATTGACATAGATAATTAAAATAAATTTATGATTAGACCTTTTGGAAATCTAATTTTTAAATATCATGTCTGTGAGATTTGTAAGAAATATGTAAAAATATATTGTAATTCAAATAAGTTCGATATTAGTAACATTTGATATTAGTCTCAATAATTTTTTATTGGTATTGCTAAAAACATTTATTAGGAATCATTATTTTATTTAAATATTTGTCTGATAACATTGCTGCCAACCATGCTGATTTTATGCTAAAATAAAATTCGAAAAATATTTAATAAAATTATTTTATATAATATGTATAGTCGTGCATATGTAATTATATACCCACAGTTATTGTTGTAAAATAACCCGGTTTTTATGACCTGGGGGTAATTATCTGGGTAAATACCCAATTTTATTCAGATCTCAATGAATATGTTTTCACAAAATTATGTATATTCATGGCACAACTAAGTTTTGCTTACATTATTAGTAGTTAATTTGCTATTTATTGCACAAAGAAATTCATTTAATTGAACATGCAAATTATTGAAATGGCAATTTTTTTATTTATTAATTTTTTTTTTGAGAAGGGTTATGGTTTAATCCTCCTTAAATTCACATTTTTAATCATAATTTTCAATATTTGGTTTTAAAAGTGACATCGAAACATGTATTGCCGGAAATATAATTTTAGAAATGAAAAAATTTATTCAGGTTTTTACTAATTTATTTTAAAAAGTTTATCATACAAAAGTTTTCTGGCATGTAAATAATAATATATAAATCCTTATTTGATTTATATTTAGTTGTGATTTGATATCTTTATGAATTATAATAATGCCAAATGTGTTGAATTGGCTGTAAATCTTTTTTTTTATATAATTATTTACTAATGGATTAAAATAGCTTAATGTTAGTATGATTTTCAAAAGGGTATAAATTATACGCTAGCTTAAATGTTTCAATATTCTTGTATGTTAAGCTTATGTGAGATCAGGTTCTATGAAAAAATACTGCTCTGGGAGAAAAAAACTGTTCTTTTTTTCCCTATTTAAAATCGCATGTTAAACTCTAAGCAAGGATTTATATATTTTATTATCTTAAATAACATAATAAATAAAATGTATATTTAGTTTTATCATTTTAGTATTCCCTATCTTCCAGAGAAATGAAATTTAATAATTCTTAGAAGAATGAAAAGGCTATTTATTAAATATTTTGGTTAAATACATATCATTTATTGTTTTTCAATTGAAAAAATAATGTTTTTCATAAATTAAAAACGAGAGTGCAAATGATAAAATAACAAACACATGTAAATTAATATTTAATTATATAGAGATTTTTTTCTCTAACTAAATTACTGTATAGATGTTGCTTAAACCTTTGATTTTAATAAAGCAATTATTAATTTCTAGTGACAGCAGTGCGATTTGCTAATAATGATAAAAGTCTCCTCGCCTGTTCTTCATTGGATGGAAAACTCTCCATCTGTCAGCTGACTCCCCCTCCTGCCAGCGTCCTGTACGTTCTCAGTGGACATAAAGCTGGACTGACTGGTAAACAAGAATTCTTTATAGTACACTCAACACCAGTAATTCATAAAGCTTTTCAAAATCAATTTTTAACTTCCAGCACTTTGTTTGAAACCATTATTGGCAATCTTGTATCTGAATCTTTGAAATTCTGGAGTTGGTACTAAGAAACATTTTTATGCAAAGATAATAACGCATTTAAAGTTTAACTCTCTCATGCATTCGGGCCTCTTATGAAGAATTATATATTTTTGCTTCATAATATTATTCATATTTGCATTTGTGATGTAATTTGCATGTATTCCTTATTTAAAGACTCCAAACAGTTTTTGGAAATCACGCCGAGTTTCTGGTCAATCAAGATAGATAAAAGAACAGGGTCTCTTTGGAAGTCAATGGATCAATAAACACCTGCAAAATCCTGGACATCTTTAATTAATTTAATTAACTTAATATTGATTTTATTACTATCAATTATTCCATTGATTTTTTTGCTATTAAAGTTAATATATAAATAAATTTTTTCCGGATTAGCCCCACTACCATAGGGTTTTATAATACAGATTACACAAACTGTGCTTGAGTTGAAGATATTTTTAGTTATAATTTTTATTTTATACAACTGGACGCACTCTTATTTTCTATCCGCATTCTTACTTATATCTACCTAGGCTCTTCACTTCTCCATCCCCATCTTTGACTTGGTATCTATCTTCCTCTAATCCTATAAATTTTACTCTTTTAAAAACCTGCCTTCATTTGTTGCTGCCAAGTCATTCTCGGCTTTCAGCTCTGCCTTTCCATTTGATTTGAATAAATGATTTTGTTAAGAAAAAATAGTTTAAAATTTAGGATTTTTAAGCAATTAAATGATTTAAATAATGCCAATCTTGCAGTAAAGTAAACTCAAATATAGTTTTGCTAATTTTGTTTTAATAGCATTTGAGTGGTCCATCTCTAATGACCTCATACTGACGTGTTCTTTGGACGCCACAGTACGACTTTGGGACACTGCCTTGGGTTTATGCATTCGGGTAGTGGAGGATCCTTTTGGGGCACCTCTCCTCTGTTGTGCATTCCAACCCTACAACAACAACATGGTTGTAGTATCCTTTTTTTAAATATGTTTCATTAATCTGTATTTTCCATTTTGTAACCTTTTTAAGTCAGTATTCAGGGGTCTGTCTAGGTTTTTTTGAGAGGTACCTATTTTGTGAAAATTTAGACACAATTTGTGAAAATTAAAAATTCTATTAAAAGATCAACACAAAAATATGTTTAAGTAAGAAAATATTTTCAAAAATTGTCACTACAAATAAAAAAATTTATTACTGGTAAATTTCTATATATTTTTCCTCATATATTCAAAATTAATTATGCTATTGTAAAATTTCGGGCTTAAAATTGTATCCCAATTTAAAAATTCATAAAAATCATTGTGGATAGTTAAATTTCAACTTGAACGTAAAACATGCATTTAACAGTACTAGCACTAAATCTTAATTTCATTATGAGAACATTTTCGACTAGGTCATACAGAAAAAAGTTTCACAGAGAAAAAAATGTTTCATAAATAATAAAGGTCTGTTAGAATAAATTTGCAATAGTATTTAACCCTTTGATTAACCTTTTTTTAACCTACTAACGGGACTCGTTTGTCCCAGCAAATCTTTAAAAATTACTAATGGACATATGTATCCCACCATTGAGTACAGACGGGACATATATGTCCCAGCCTCTAAATTGATAACCGCTTGTCAGAAAAATCCCAAATACTAAATTTGCCTTATTTGTGACCTATTTTGTCCTTTTGAGTAATAAACAGGACAAAAAAATCATTTTTTAAAATTCGTAGTCAAAGGGTTAAGATAATGATCGAATGTTTAGAATAATGTTTGAATTTCAACTTCCTGTACAGTTTATAGATGGAGAGCCTTGTCGTTTGATTTTTTAAAAAAAATCAACGAAAAAGAAGCTATTAATTTTTTCTATACTATATATTACCCATATTTTACACAGTCATTGATAACTTGATAATAAACAATTTAATTACTTTAAAACATCCATCTAAAATTTTGAATGATGTAGATAAAATAAATTTTTTTTTTGTTAATTACTATGAAAACCTATTTATTCTGATCAAATAGAATAGGACAGGTGTAACCACCTTGTCGTTTAAGAGAATGAGGGTCGTTTTAATATCAAGTAGGAGTGACGAAAAGAAAGGGCAAGTTTAAAAATTATAAGCTTTTTGAGTGTCTGCTATCTGCATTGTAATAAAATAAAATTGTCAAGTTTTATTATTCTTAATTGCCTGCTTTGAATTGTTTTTTGTTTGCTAGAAATGAATACTATGTTTGCTCGATTGTATGCTATACTATCTGTACATCTTTTGAAAGATCACTTAACTTAATTTAGATTGGTAATTCTAAAGGCATGGTACAGGTGTTAAATGTATCTACAGGCATCTATTTAAAAGTGAGATATTCAAAAACTTATATTATGCATTTTAAAAGTGATTTTATTTTATATATATTTTATGTATTATATGTATGTACTTTCCCCTTTTTTCCCCTTTCACAAAATCACTATTTCATGGTATATAATTCATTTAAGTGATATATATATATGTATATATATATATACACACAGTCAGATCCTGATGTAATAAATTCATAGGGACCATAGTTAAATCGGGGATAATTTGTATTATCGGAGGAAAAATGAAAAAAAATTGATTTACCTTATGGAATATCCCAATATCTCTAATCGGCAAATAAAAAAATAAAGCTTACACTTTTTATTCAAGAACTTAAAATACAGCAAATGATTACATGCTGATTAATTTTAAATTTTAAATTATTTCGTGAGAAAGTTTGCTTATTTCCTTGATTTCTCACCTGAAAGATGAAAAAAAAGAAAATACTCAGTCATTTACATCACTGTTTCCAAACCATGCTGATCATCAGAAAAAGTAACAATTTTAATTGGAGATTTATTATCATCGACTTCTGTGTCATATTCGCTACTCATTGTTTTCGATAAATCTACTTTATTAACTTCAATTGTATAGATCAGTGGTCCCCAACCTTTTTGTACCTAAGAGCAAATACCAGAATATCGGTCGAATGGCAGGCACCATTTATTTTTTCAAGATAAATTTATAGTTGGTAGACATAGGTAATAATACACACTACATATAGTGCACAAAAAATTAAATTTCAAAAATTAATTTGACATATGAATGCAATTAATATTTTTGTGTAAAATAAATGATTACTAAATTGCTTTTAAAACATACGAAGTATAAAAATTATTTATAAAATACAGTGGCATGTGGTGTTTGGCATGGCATTTCGCTGACCAGCGCTACATAATTGGGAGAATATGATGCTCTTTTTAAGAATGGAATTTAGTCCTTCAAATATATTCCAGAATTTCTCATGTGATACAATAGTTTTGAGGATAATGTCATCCAATGGAGATCCAAAATTTCTATATCCAATTCTTCTCGCTTTACTTGAAGAAATTCTGAAATGTATGTTACTATTACAGTTACGTTTATTTGGTTGGTAAGAGGATTAACAAAAAAGTTATCAAAGGCTCGATGATATTAAATTGCTGCTATTAAATTTATCTTTAAGCAATTGGAGGTTGATGACAAATGTCAATTTCACTGTCACCTATCAATTTTTTCATGTTTGGAAAATGCACAAGAGACTTCATTTTCAAATGTGATATCCACAAAACTAGCTTAGCTCTGAACGAGTTAACAGCCTCTATCATTTTTGCTTTATGTTTGTCCTTTCCCTGCAGCTCCAAGTTTAAATAATTTAGTTTTTTCCTTACGTCCGTTATGAAAGACAAATCTGCTAGCCAAAGAGGGTCTCTTAGTTCTAAAAATGTATGATTTTTGGTTGCAAAATAATTTTTTATTTCTCCAATTATATGTAGAAATCTATTCAAGTACTTTACCTTTACTGAGCCAGCGTACTTCAGTATGTATTTGCATAGCATTTATTGTGAAAATGGAAAACTGAAATATTTTATAGTTGAGCAGCGGGCGCACCTAGATCGATCGACGGGCGCCATGGTGCCTGCGGGCATAGGGTTGGGGACCCCTGGTATAGATAGATAGTCCGTCATCATATGTGACATAATCGTTAAAATCTATTCAAAAAGCAATTTCGTTCCATATAACTTCTTCTGAAGGATCAAATGAAAAAAGGGCTTTGTTATTTTCCACTATTGTCCCTGGAAATCCCGCTTTCTAAAAGCATTTTTATTTGCATTTTCCGAAACTAGGTCCCAGCATTGTCTTAAAAACTGGCTCCGTGTTTATTTTCCCCATTTTTCTCATAAGCAGCTTTCTTTAATTAATTTTTACTGATTGGTTTTGTAACTATCGTTGAACCGCCAACTCAATTTTTTAGTTTTATGACTACTAATGTTCAACTCCTTGTAATTTTGAACCCAATCCTGAAGACAAGGGAACTCTTGGATCCAGTATTGGGAGAAATTTACCTTTTTGGTGGACTTTTTGATGGAACTAACCAGCAGTTGCGTTACATGGAGAGGAAAAATATGATGGCTTTCCAAGGTTAGCCTGACGGCAAGGGGGCTCTAACCCATGATCCATCTACCACTGAGGATATTTTATGCCAGCACTATGGTCGGTGCAAGCCGGATGTGGAATTCGTATCGACCACCCATCACTGGGATTCGAACCCGGTTCACCTCATAGGAAGGCGAACGCTCTATCCCCTGAGCCATTTGCGGCTCACCTCTTTCACATATATGTATACAACTCAACATTGGAGATTTTTGTGACTTTGTTTTTACTTGCAGCACCCTTACAGTTGTTATTGCTAACACGCTGTATAATGGCTCATAAATAATGTATTAAAATTTGTTTGATTTTCAATTTACTAATTAATTTTATCTAAATCAGTAACAAAAAATTATATTTGATAATGATAGTACAATTGTGTTTGTTTAGGGTGGAAGCAGCAAAAGTTCTGGCAGTGTTTTGTCTATTGTCTTTGATCCTTCTGGAAGACTATTATGGGCTGGAAATGATAAGGTATTGTTCTAATTTTTCTTGCTCTCTCACGTAATTAAATGAAAACTTATTTTCCTGATCAAGAAATGTCAAAAATTAATTCTTATCCCAAATAAAAACAGAACTCTCTTGTTTAACATACATCATTGATAAATATGTATTTTTTTGTCATTATACATTAATCTCATTCTTGAGCCTCATATCACCTTACCCAAGGAGGTTAAGCTGTCATTCTCATGACCAGTCCAACGTGGACACCACAATATTTCTTTTCTTCAATATATGAGAAGTAACCACTTACCTGCTGTCCTCACATAGAATTATTACATATTTACTTGTAAGAATATTAATGCTTTCTTTTGCAATTATTGTATTATTCTCTATGGTTGAACAGTGCACAAAAAACGGACCACTCTGAATAACTATTGATCGAATGATCGGATTTTCACATTCTAGGACTCAATCTTAATGATTCAAGAGAGTGTCATCAACTGAATTGGTGCAGGCGCTATTTTAAGTAACAAAATCATAAAATCAAAAACGGACTTTCTCTGAATAAACATACTGTCATTTTTTCTGACGGATTCAGATTGCTGAACCCCAAAATGTAGGGGGTAGTCTCAATCTGAAAAATTTGGTCAGACAGTCAAAAAGATTTCCAAAATTTGAACCCCTTTATGTTATTTTTTTTTTTTTGAATATTTCACCGTATTGAAAGTTTTACAAATTGAAAAATTTTTGCCCACAATTATAAAATTTGTTTATCCAAAGTTAATTCCTTGTCAAATATAACTTTTAGTAAAAATTTATTACTTTAAATTAATAATAGTCGAAAAACTTGAATTATAAGGTAAAAATGTTTTTACATAATTTTAAAGTGTGCAATTTTAAATGACAAAATTTGGTTGAATAGTGTCTGAGAAATTAAATTTCAAAAATACGACTTTTTCACAATCAGGGTAGTCTGTTTTCTTATTTTGCATACTGTGTACATTTATTTATTTTGTAAAGGAACTAATATTGTATTAGTCACTACTGGCAAACGTATAATCAAATTAAATTTTTTAGGGTTACATATTATCATTCCTCTTTGACTTACATACAGGAAGATTAACCAAAGGCAGAAAGTATGTTATTCCTTTGAGTTTGTTTACTTATGTATTACTGCATGTTATTAATTACTAAATCGATGATTGATACATTCATTTAAGTATATTATCACGAAGATTAATGCAGGTTTTAAATTAGTTTAAAGTTGGGAATATTTATTCTGATGAAAATTTAGGATTATTAAAATTCATTTATTTCAAGAAGGAGATGTTGAGGTGTCCAAGCAAATCTTTTATGTGTGTTGAGATTTATTATGATACCATAACATTAATACTTATGAAATAATGCAAATATTAATCAAATGATAAAAAATTAAAGAGAATAAATATAATGCTAAATTGTGAGAAATGCTAATTGTGTAAAAATTGTGAGTATTTGAGGGAAGTGGAAGCTGAGAGAGCTCCATATTCTTTTCCAATTGGAAAAGAATATGGGACGTTTTAAAGCACTTTACCAAAAATGAGTAAAAGTAATATATAATTTGGTTACTATAAGTTATTAATTATAGCCAAGGTTATACTTCTCTTTTTCTTAATTTTAGAAATAATTAAATATGGCAATAAAGAGTTAATAAGGTCTATATTTTATAGCCAAATCATTCTAGCACTTCTTTTGTGTAGAATCTAAGTTGAAGAATATGTATTTATAGAACTTCATTTTCACTTAATTACTCATGTTAGTAAGAAATGATATTTATCTAGAGAAAAAAAAATTGCATTGATTATTTCTAACAACATCTATAAATCTTCATGTAGGCTGTTTAATAATGTGTTTAGGATTTGTTAGAAATTATCTCTTATCTAACCTGTATAGTTAGTTCTGCAATAGCTCCCTTAGCAAGTTCTTTTCTAAAGGAAATTACATAGCTGCCAACTTTACTGGATTATCCAGTAGACTATTCTATTTTGCCAGTTTCTCCTGGTCTACTGGTTTAATAAAAATTTTCCTGATTTTTGTACATTTTTGAAAATTCCCTAAAATTTAGTAAGTACAGTACAGAACTCGATATCCGGAAATCAGAAAACCGGAACAAAATTCAAAAAATTTTCTCGCCATTTTAAAAAAAATATTTTTTTTTCCTCGTAAGATTTTACGATTTTTCTTTATTTTTTTAACGATGTTTACCTTACCATCATTTTGGAAATAATCATTAGTGTATTACTTCATCGTTTTTTTCTTATTTTTAAGATTATTTCCAATTTTTTTTTTTTAGTTGGGTTTAACAATAAAAAAATGGCTTTTTGTAGCGATTCAGAAAACCGGAAAAATTAGTTATCCGGAATAGCGATGGTCCCGACCGTTCCGGATAATCAGTTCCCTACTGTATATTAATAAAATCCCTATTGAAATCAAACTTTTGGACAGATAATGATTGCTTGCTTAAATATCTAAATAAGTATTGCTAATACATAATGAAGTGTGCCTCATTTTTTAAAATAAGTTTAAAACTTTTCTTTTGTTTTAAAATGGTTTATTTTTTATTCATAACTCCATTTTTAAGTATTTAAAAAAATCTTTTTAACTATCTTTAATGAATAAAATGCCTATGCCTATTAAAGTTATGAGTAAGCGTAATGCTTAGCATTTCAAGTTCATTTAATCTCAACCGTAACTGGAAAATATTGAAGTCTATACAAATCCTTAAAATTCCCTATGTATAAAATATTTAGTACACTATGAAACAATTATCCTGAAAGTTATACTATTTGGGTAATGTTGCTCGCTTCCGTGACTTAGATCCAGAGGTGCCCACTGGGTAACGTTAAATGAGCAACACTTCCGGCATCTTCCAAGGTGAAGAACGACAGTTTAAGTACCTGCCGTTATTTAAAAAAAAAAAAATAATAAATACTATTTTGTAAAATCTACCGTTTTTTTTTTATCCATGTTGGCAGCTATAGAATTTGGGAGGAGAATTTCACAGAAAACATAAATTTATACGGAAGGGAAAAAAAAGCATTTGCCACATGAAGTATTTGTTCTACTGTTACAAATTGTTATCCATTTCTTTTACTGTTCAGGCAATTGCAAAAACTCTTTTCTCTATTTTCATCAGGATTCTTGTATCGGAGAATAATGCAATCACTTGTCTCTCTGCCCGCTCGTGGGCGAACCGTGAAGCTCGGGATCCTCTTCTTCTTGTGAACTGTGCATCTGACGCAGTTTTCCTTTTCAGGTAAAATTTGTCTGACGAATTAATACCTTTATTGTTATAATTCAATAGCTGACTTTCAGAGTGCTTAGGATAGGCCCTTCAATGCATTAATGCTTTTGCATCTCTTTTCAAAGATGAAAATGCTTAAGACATTCTCAGCAGTTTCAGTGTTAAATTTGAAGTGACTATTCCCCTTTTGAATTATTCAGAAATACAATCGTAACTCATGCTTTACCTGATTTTTGTTGACATACTCAAAGACTGTTTTTTTTTCTGTCCTGGCATATTATATCAGGAATTTTGATAATTTTTTTTTAAACAATAAATAAATAAATGCTTTAAAATATTATTGTTTTGGACACTGCAATGCTTAGGAGTTGGAAACAAATTATGTAATTGATATCTTTGTATATCACAGTCTTATTTTCGTGGTAAATATATAACTGGTAAATATATAACATTTTTATGGTGCTTATTCATTTCCACATGAATCTCATGAGTGATATTTTTGATATTGTATTGCTGTGTTATTTTTTCACTAAATTGAGCTTTCCATGAATTTTGAATTGTTCGCTTAAAGATAATTTTATTAACAGATCTCTTATGATCCTTGCTTCAATTACAATCCATATTACTGTTTTATTATTCACCTAGAGATTACCTTGCCTAGCCATTTTATTACGAATTTTGAAAAAGTAATATCAGTCTGCAATAACAAGAATGTTAAAGTACTGGGAATTTCAGGGATTCTGCTAAAAAAAAAATTTTTTTTATGTCAACCAATTAACATAAAAAAAAAAATTCATGCCTAATTGAATTTTGGTGTGTGTGTGTGTATACACACCAAAATTGGTAGTTGTTGACTTCCATAGGTGAATGTTGGCAATCACATAGTCACTTTGGTAAATGTCTGAAATATATACTAGGTCTAGCTAAGTGCCACTGCCCGGTATACATTTGCCTGGTATGCCCTACATCAATGTTTTTTAAGTTCTATTTGCGTTGCCCAGTATGCATTTAACAGGTACTCTAAACAGTGATGTTTCTTCCTAATCTATCTTCAGTAGATATTAAAATATCGAATAAACATAATAATATCAAATAAATTAAAATCAAATTGGATGTAACAAATATTTCAGACATTCACCAAAGCGACTATGTGATTGTGGACATTCACCGGTGAAAGTCGACATTCTCTTGATATCGGGCATTTACGGTAACATATGTATTACATTCGGCAATGTATTACTAACTTTAATCAAAGGTTTAAACTTTTCAAAGAATACTATTAAAATCAAGTTGTTGTTTTTTTAAATTTTATTTAAGTTTTCAAGTGGTATTAAAACATTTAATTCTTCATGAACATATCATGGTTTATCTTATTCTATAACAGTGTTTCCCAAAGTGTGGTACGTGTACTTCCAGGGGTACGAGAACAGTTTAGCGGGGGTACACATTCCTAAGCAAAACATCTTGCAACAAACAAAAATTTCAAAATTTTTTATTTAGAAGCAAAGCAAGTTATGAAAATTTATGATTACATATTTTTCTATTGGCTATTTTTTGCATAGTTAACAGTTAATAATTAGTGGTGTCAAAAGTGTGATTTTTAACTTTTGTGCAAATTTTTTATAGTTAAAAGTGCATTCATTTTTTTATTAGTGGTACGCAATGTTACGAAAAATTTAGAAAGGGTACAGAAAAGTCATAAGTTTGGGAAACACTGTTCTACAAGAATAAATATAAAAAGCAAATTACAAAGGTGAAATATTGAAAAAAGTTTAATGCAATTTCAGCATCCTTAGGAAAGATGGGAGCCTTGAGCTGAAACGTAAGTTTCCTATCAGACACAGCTCTCAACTGGCTATGATAAGGAGCTCTTTCTGTCCCATCATGTCATTCAGACAAGGCACTTGCATAGGTAAGTGTGCAGGATTATATTCGAAATTGTTCATAATCTCGTTATATATCTGTCTTTTTTTTTCTTCTTTTACAGTATCAGGAAGTGAAGATACCTCTGTTTACTTTTTTGATCTGGAAAGGGAGAGGAAAGCCTGTGTAAATAAATTACAAGGACATTCTGCTACTGTCATCGATGTGTGCTTTAATTATGATGAGAGTCTGCTTGCCTCCAGTGATGCCAGTGGAATGGTCATTATTTGGAAGAGATCATTCCAGACCTAGTTTATTATTAAGTCTATTATTTATATGTTTTATGAAAAATAGAAGTGTATATATTTNGTCATCGATGTGTGCTTTAATTATGATGAGAGTCTGCTTGCCTCCAGTGATGCCAGTGGAATGGTCATTATTTGGAAGAGATCATTCCAGACCTAGTTTATTATTAAGGTCTATTAATATTATGTTTTATAAAAAATAGAAGTGTATATATTTTTTGTAAATTTTTGTATGTTGAAAAATTTTTTTTTTCCATCATTTTTCAGATCCAGTCATATAAGATGTGATTTATATGTATTGATTAAAATTAAATCCTGATTCTCTAATTAATTTTTGTAAAATGATGCTTTTACTAAGGTATTTACCTTCAGTTTTGCTACCCTTTATTGCAATAATTTGCCTTATTTTCTGCTATCTTTTTCTTAAATAAAGACTCAATTAAATACAAATTTATTTTGCATGTTAAAGGCCTTTTTGTTCAAAGGATTCTCATTTTATTCCCTTCTATATTCTCAAGAGGTGGTATCTACACTATTTAATCAACAGATATTTCAAACGAAATGGTTGCATATTAAAATGTTATTCTCCTTACTTTCAAAAATATCACCCTCCTATTTCTATATATATATCCCAGCAAACACAACATTTAAGTCGTGATAACGGGCCCATGTATGTTCACTATCTTATCGTATTATTTGGGCTTTAGAACGGACATATAACTTAATTATTTAATAGTTAATAAACTTGAAAAAAAACAAAAACAATTTGCTGAGATTTTTTTCACTTAAATAAAAGTTATCAAAATTAAAGAATAATTCTTAAGATTTTTAAATTTTTATGAACATACATAGTTTAAAAAACTAAATCACAAAAACTTTTGCTTTCATTAAACTTTCATATGGAGTAAATCTGAACTTTGATTAAATTCTGATTTACTTAGAGGCATTAAGACATTAAGATTAATTAATTACAGAAGTTTTCTAGGTCCCAATCTTAGTGCTTTAAATATTTTTAAAACTTTAACTAGAATATTGAACACATTTTTTTTAATGAAGTGAAGCATGTGTATAATCGGCAATGTTTAGTTTTGAGAGAGTTTTTGCACTTATTATTATCTTTATAGTTGTATTGTATCTTGTATTTCTCTTTAAATGTAAGCAATCTGTTTCGCAGAAACTGAAATGTATATTTTGTAAATATTAATGTTTTAATCTGAAACAATGTAATTTTTATTGATACAAATAAAAGAAAATGTTTTGAAATGTGCTTGTATTGATTGATAAAATTCCTATCACTATAACACTTTAGAAAACAACAGCCCTTTGAACTCTCATGGAGCTAAGATTCGTGAATATTGGTCCAATTAGGGCCTAAGGTATTTTGATGCTAGGATAATTATGAGTGTTTTTACAATACAAACTTTAAATGTGCTGTGTTTCTGAATATATAATCTTTTGAACGAGATAAAATGGAGGTTCCAGAACTCTAGAGGACTTCCTGACCTTTAATTTAAATTTCTAACTTCTTTCGGTTTTACCGTGAGTACAATTTTAATATGGCTCAGCAAAAGCCATATCTTGGCTTTGTAGACTATACATCCAGTCCATATTAATGAACAAGTTTAAGCTGAGGACATACAGGAAACTTAGCATTTGGGATTTGAAATCAGATTTAGAATGTCGGTAAGTTCACAAAATTATCTGTTCGTAATGTGTGATCATTACATGCTCTTAATCCTGAATTTTCAACAAACAAGTTTTTAAACTGAAGTCTGATTTTTTTTCTTCTGATCCTATCATTACTGAAGTTTGTGTAATGTCAATGGCAAAGCCGAACAGAACCCTTCCGAGTCTGCTGAGAAGCTTTTGCATGCTTAATATCTGTAAAATTCTTAGAAATGAGCAATTGCAGGTACCCTTAACCCTAGATAACTGTACTTAAACCAATGTTAATCTATCATTCGATCCAATACGAAATTAAAAATATTTTTTCCTTTATTTCAAAAATATCCAAAATTTAAAGTAGAATATTTCATTAAAAAAAAAAAAATAGGGAAAAAATTATCGTGTGCTGACCACAGTCTGCGTTTCTATCGTGGACAGAATAAAAAAAAAATTATTTAGCATAATAAAATGCAGATAAAACTTAGCATGCAGATTATGGCATTGCCTCTACTTTCTACAGGTGAACCGTGGTGACTCAGGGGATAGAGCGTCCGCCTTCCCAAGAGGTGAACCGGGTTCGAATCCCAACGATGGCTTGTCGATACGAATTCTGCACCTGGCTTACACATACCGCAATGCTGACGTAAAATATCCTTAGTGGTAGACGGATCATGGGTTGGAGTGCCCTTGCCGTCAGGCCAACCATGGGTGGTCTTCGTGGTTTTCCTCTCCATGTAACGCAAATGCGGGTTAGTTCCATCAAAAAGTCCTCCACGAAGGCCAATTTCTCTCCAGATACTTGATCCAGGAGCTCCTTTATCTGCTGGATTGGGTTCAAAACTACAAGGCTACGGAGTTGAACATTAGTAGTCATAAACCCATAGAATTGGATCGGCTGTTCAACGGCGGTTATAAAATAAAATTTCTACAAGTTTAAACTGAATATTCGACGACGATTGTAAAAATCTCTAAAAATAACGAGTGTATTAACAGCGCTACCACATCTCACAACTCATTTTACTAGTTATGGTGCTGCTGTGAGTGAGGTAGTGAGACTGTAGCGAGAATTTCTGTAATTCATAGAACTGGCAGAAGTCTGTAACATGAGTAAGGGCTCGCTTTTGTAGGTCAGAACCCGAAGAATTCTTACATGAGCTCGAGATAATCAGGATAGAACCCGAGTCTGAGATATACGTCGGATAAAGGCCTTTGTCTAAACAAGGAAATTATTTCTTTAAGACTTTCAATCGTAATTAAATTTTTACACTTAATAACTGAACACAACGTTTGCTTAAAAGTAGTCAAAAGGTTGATGAACATTTTATCTGCAGTCAGAGCCTGCCCAAGCCCGAAACCTATTCAGTAAACGAGTCTGAGCCCGGCTCGGTCAGTATTCTGCTAGACGAATGTTTAGTTTATCTTGGATTAAATCTTTCATGACTCTTATCATTTCCCAACCGATGGATTTTGCTTTGTTCTTTATAATTTCTTACAAGTTTTAGATTTTAATTTAAAATTTGCTTTAAATATTAAACTCAATTTAAATTTCAGCTAACTAAGAAACAGTTTATAGCATAAAAATCTTTTTTTTTTTTTTTTTTTACTAAAATCCACAGTATGCAAAGTAATGCATTTTTGAGTGATATAAGAAACTAAGAACTAATTTTAAATTCAATTAATATTTTAATTCAGTGGTTTCTTCCTCCTCTTCGTATTCGGTTTTGCCCTTACGTTTAAGCTATATATTCGTGGAAGCAACGTGTAAGTCGTGGTGTGGTTGTTAGCGCCACGGGTAAAGAAGTTTGTAGACCCGATGGTCAGGAGTTCGGTGCTGATCACGCATTAATTTTTAATTTTATTTAATTTTTTTTATTTAACTTTTTTACATTTCATTTTTCGATATTTCAACGTGAATAAAGTGTTCGATAGATTAAAATAATTCTTCTTCTTTAATAAATAAGGAATATTAGCAAAAGAACGGATAAATTTCGACTCCGGAGCTACGCACACGACTCACACTGTAAGTCCCTTTAATATTAATTTTTAATTTTTAAACTCTGCCAGAAATTAGAGTTTTATATACCAAACAATCGTACCAAAGTGAATTTCTATACATTAAATAGGGTGCACATAATGGGCCAAAATAGATTTTGTTAATTAACCGGAAGGAAGTTCTTTAAGCTATATATTCGTGGAAGCAACGTGTGAGTCTTGGTATGCTAGTTAGCGCCATGATCAAGAAGTTTGTAGACTCGGTGGTTAGGGG